CTTCTCCACCTACCTGGGCAACAGCCCTCTCGGCAGCTAGGCACCTTAATACTTCCGGGGTTCAACCCCAGGTACCCCCTTCCAGGACAGCTAACACACGGCCATACCAATGGCGCTCAGTGTGGGAAACTGAACACTTGCCAGTTGCTCCCAAAGACTACCAAGGTCTGCAGGCCAACACAGGTCTACAGCAACTGCTGCAGCTGCATTCAAACCTGCAAGAGAATCAAAGATTAATACAACATATTTACACAATGAAACATACTATTGGCACTGTGGCCGCTTCAGGCAGCCAAATCTCGTGCTACCAAACATGACACACGGTAGGGCTATACAAATATCTTTGAGGGAGAGTGACTAAAGTTCACTTCCTACACAAAGCAGAACTGTCCTTGACTCTCTGGAGTCACGTCCATTGAGGATGCATCAGCCAAGTCCATCACGTAGGGCATTGCTCTATGCTATGCAGGGTGACCCATGCCCTTCGCTACAACCAGCACCTCAGACTGTGGCAGAGGAGTCACCTTACTCAGTTCTCTGCAGGCCTGTCAGGTCTGTGCGTGGCGGCCGCTTCTTCTCTCTAGCCACAAACACAGCCTGCCCAATCTCCCTAAAATGCATCCTGGCACGGGAGACAGTTGTTTGCTGCACACAGGCAGCTTAACCCCTACACAGCCGGGCTCACACCTCTGCCCAGCAAACCTTAGTCTACAAGTTCAACATGCGGCCTCCGGTCCTCCCAACCCAAGGGGGTCTCGGCCAGTCCCTCACTCAGACTCCTCGTCTCTGGAAGAGTCTGAAAGTCCTGAGCCGCTCTTAGCTCTCTTGTTCAGTTTCTCCCAAGCCGCGCCTGCTCCAAGCAGTGCTCTGGGGATCTGCTTCCAAGTCCCTCAGGGGTGTCACAGTCAAAATGACCTCCTGACGGGGCACTTACCCCTAAAGTCCTGTCATGAGGCCGAGCATTGGGACTCACTGCTCCTGAGTCCTCTGCTCGAACCTGCACATCTTTCGGATCCTCGTGCCTCAGTTTCCCATCCTGCCGACTATGCCAAGTGTCAGAGCCAGCAGCAAGAGCACCACACAGCTCTGCTGGTCTGACTGGCTCTGGGCAGAGCTTGGCAGAGGGTCTTGGGAGATGGAGAAGGAGATGGAGAAGTTGTAGGGATATATAAGAATGAGTCTTTATTGCTGAAGGCAGTGGCTATATAGCCATCAGACAAGAACAGTCTTTTAGTTTTTAATATTTATTTTATTGATTTTTTTACGGAGAGGAAGGGAGAGGGAGAGGAATAGAGAGTTAGAAACATCGATCAGCTGCCTCCTGCACATTCCCTACTGGGGATGTGCCCGCAACCTAGACCGGAATCGAACCTGGGACCCTTCAGTCCGCAAGCCAACGCTGTATCCACTGAGCCAAACCAGTTAGGGCCAGACAAGAACAGTCTTCACAGCAAAGTCCATACGGGCAGGCAGCCGGCCACTGGCCACTTGTATGTATCTTTCCCATAAAACAGCAGCAGTCTCTGTCCCCACAGCTATTATCTGAGCAGCCGCACGCTGCCTCCTAGACTCACCGCCTCACATCGTAGCGGTACCTGAGCTCTCCGGCTCCGCAGCTTCTCCTGTCTTTCCTGCTCAGCTGCTCTCTCTAGTAGACTTCTTCACACACTCCATCCTAGTTGCCCTCTCTCCATACTCCTGCAGACGTCTTCTCACTCCCACCTCAGCCTACTCCAGCTAACTAGCTGGTCAGTAACCTACTTTTACACCATTTAGACAAAGAAGGCTTCGTGCCAACAGTGACACCAATCATATTTGCTACGGAAGGGCACAGCGTGCCGTGTGTCCTTGCATACACTCATGGTATCTTGGCCTGATTAGGATTTTCAAGGCTCAGAGTCCTTGAACATTCCGCCTAGGCACATGCCCAGAGCGGCCTTTGGTCATTCTTATGTATTGATAACAAGGCCTTTGTGTTCCCACTGGCCTTGACTGCCTGGCATGGTTCCCACAGCTCCCAATCCAAGGGGTTGGACTTCAATGTATGAATTGGGGGAGGGGTGGTCACTATTCAACCCATTTCATTCATTTCTACTTTGGAATCCTTGGTCCATCCAATGGTAAATCTTTCTCACTTCAGTTGCCAGCTCTGAGTAATAGGAATGAGTGCCTGGAGTGTTGCTTAGAGAAGGGATGTGAGTTGACATCCAGGATTAATGGGAAAGGTTACTGGAACTGGTTTGGAGTTTTTTCATGGGTACAGGATATAAGGAATAGGGTTTGTCATGTGTCTTCTCAACCAAGGAGCTGGGCTGAAGAACCCTGCTGCTCATAACTGAAGCAGGAACCTCACCAAAACGCTAAAAGCCTGCAAAAGAACTGATTTCCCCCCCCCCAGATCTCTCCAATTGAGATCCCCAAATGGTGATTGCCAATTTGCAATCTTGCTACATTCAGTAATCTTTGCAGGGCCTTAAGCACAGCCCATGAAAATGATCAAATCTCTAACAGGACTGAGCTCGTCCATGCTGGGAGTGAAGGGAGTTACACTTTCACAGACATCATCAGTCTGAGCTTTCTGAATGTTTCCCTACATGCAGAACTTGCTTTGCCTCAAGAGTTGCAGCTGGAACCAAATAGGAAGCGAGTTTCTGGAAGCACCACTCTTGACACCTACAGCATCAAAACCACCAGATGATGACAGCTGCTGTGGAACTCTAAGCAAGTGGAGGGGTGCCCGGCTTGAGCTAGCCCAGCTTGGTAGTGGAGCCAGGAGAAGGCAAAGGACAGGAAGCCAGCTGTCTGTGCATGTGGATATAAAGTATACTTTCAGAAGAGTGACTGGAGACCTTAAAGGCAATGTAGGGAAGTCCTTCATTTTTGTTTCATCTGCTGAGGTCCTTCAGAAAACCTGGTAGACTGACCAAGGCCAAAGCTCACTCACCACCAGAGAATATTTTAATTGAGGGAAGACACAGGTAGAAAGGATTATTTCTCTAACAGCTCTGTAGGATGCTGGGATACAAGCTCTCCAACTTTGGGATGCCCTCTCTTTGCTCTGCCTTTGACTGAGGTGCTGGACTTTTTTCACATCTGTCTAAATAGCTACATTCATTTATGCATTCAGCAAACATTGAGGGGATGACATTGCATTAGATTACATTGAGGGGAGACAAAAGCTTTCATAAGGTAGGATCCCTGCCCATGAGGTGTCCACAGACTGGTTCACATTAAAAATAGGTTTTATCTTATTTTCTCTGATAGATTGGTAATGGCTGCCTAGAGCACTCCCTTGAGGAGCATTTGATAGGTCACATCCTGATTCAGAGGAGTGCTGTGATTGACTAGTGATGTCTGCTTTGGCCACCTATTTGCATTGCATTCTTGGTGGCCTAGTTTTATGTCCTAGCTCCTCAGTAACATTTGGTTGTAGCCCCATGAACTAGGCCACTTCCAGGTACTATATGTACCATCCATTTCCCACTGCCTCTTCCTGCTGAGGCTAAGTGACAAAGGACCGAAATGATGCTGAAAAAGGTGGTTCTGAGTTGGCATTAACCTCTTTTTGAGAAACAAAGGAGCATGATCTTTTCTCTGTATCTATTTCTGCTCCTCCCCTATAAGTTCAAAATGGAGGTGGGTGGAGTTGAGTGTGGAGGAGAAACCCATGGGCAGGGGCCAAAAAAGCTCCGCCTTCCTCCAGAAGAAGAATATAGGGTTTGGGGGTGTGGGAGACTCTAACCCAGCTTTGACAATAACCACTGAACTAGGACCAGCCCATACTGACTTGATGTTACACAGGCAACAAAATTCAGGAAGTGCACCCAGTCAGGTGTCTTGTATTTATCTAGTCTGAATGTGGTTAATCTGTTGACAGCCTTGGCAAGTCTGCAGGACTGGACAGTCGTGGGCGGAGCTCCTAGTCGGCATTTAATGAACCCTGTTCAGTAGCCCCGCTGAGGAGCTCAGCCTGGATTTAGATGCACGATATTCAGACAACTAACTGTGGGGCGGCAAAGATTTAAAATTCACTGTACTACCTTGTTCCTGAAAGTCTGTTGGTTTTGGGAGCCATCTAGAACTCAAAGGCTGAGTTCTTAATTAAGTACTTAGTCGAATATGGATTTTGTCATCTGCGAGACCTTTTCTCAAATCTCTGCCATTCTCTACTGCTGTGAGTTTGGGCAAATGCCTTCACACTCAGGGTCTTCATCTGAAAAACAGGGATAATGAGAGGACCTACCACTCAGGGTTTTTGTGAAAGTAGAATGTGTATGTAAAGGGCTCAACAGGAAGTCTGGCATAGAGTAAGAACTCAACAAATGATGCCCATAATTAGTAGCAATGGAACTCTGGACCCTTTTGGAGTATCCCCCATACCCATCCCCTTTCTGCCTCTTCTTTATACCTATAAGCAGTACCAGGCTCTGGGCCTGAAGCTCTGGGCACAGTCCCCCACATCCTCCCGTGGATATAGATCTCCCCTCTCTTCTCCAGCTGTGGATGTGGGTCTCCCCTCTCTTCTCCAGCCCTGCCTCACCCTGCCCTGTGGACACACACCATGTGGCGGTGCTTGTGTTTCCAAAAAAAGATGCTATTTTCTCAGGAGCTCAACTCCCATTTCCAGGCCCCTTTTGGCATGCATCTCTGCAGACAAAGCCCAGTGTGTATGTGAGGCCGGGCCACTGACACTGCATAATGAGAGGGACGGGCAGGGGAGGAGGAACCGGAGCTGCTCAGGCCAAAGCCAACAGCATCCTGGAAGCCAAAGTGCTCTGGCCAAGGGCTGTTACACTCAGCTGTGACAGCACCTGCTCTCCAAGGGCAGGATCTCAACACCATAGGCCCAAGCAGAGCCACACCTGCCAGACTGTCCCTCTGGGACACAATGATTCGGTTACCCGGCATGGACAGGTTAGAGAGAAGGATCATTGGGATAGGGAAATAGGAAAGACGCCCTCTGGTTTGTTCTCTGGGTTACCATTTGCTTTCCTCTACAGGAAAACAAGACGAAGAACAGAGTGCCTGCCCCATTGTGCGCGAGTGGAGAAAGCCCAGAATCTGTTGGCGATGGCTCAGCTTCAACACTTGTCTCTGTTGCCTTCCACCTGCCTTTTCTTGGGCGAGTCCCACAGTCTCTCTGAGCATCCTCAATTTCCATATCTATAGAGAGGTGAGTCATCATTCCCAGAACGAGCCCAGTTTCCATCCCCTAGGAGTGGAGGCCTGACCCAGACAGTCTGAATAATGCCAGCTACGTAACTGTCTAATTGGGCCAATGGGTCTGACCCCTCCCCTCTTAACTGCCTCAGAGTCACCAGTCCCACTGTGAAGATTATCGCCTGTATTTCACTTGATGTTGGTTTCCAGGGCTTTCTTCCATCCACCCTTTCCCATGCAGGCTTGGATCCTGTTTAGTGAAGGTAACTCAGAGCCCATTCAGCCCATCCCATGTCTAGTTTCGTTTACTGTAAAGCATCAAGCCCCTCCTCTATCAACATCTGTATTTCCTGTTGGGAATGGAACCCATTGGGAGAACCTCATGAAAGGGCTGGCAAGTTCTTTTCTTGGAACTTGGACTTTTCTTACTTATTCGGCCTAAAGTTTCATCATCTTCATTAGCAGAAATCCCCACAGGCCATAGTTCCACCTTTGAGAGAAACAAAACATGATTCAAATTTTCCTGTGGCAGAAGGTAGCAGAGTTGGCGCCATGGAGGCTAACATCTTCTCTGCAAGACGCAGACTGACCTTCTCCTAAAAGCATGGCCCTGTCATTGTCTGGAACCACTTGCCTCTTACAAACCCTCCCCGGGGAGTGGACTCTCAAACCACTGGCCAGATTTCAAATATGTACACTTTTTTCCAGTCGGTCACTGGAAACAGAGCCCAGGAAAGAGCCCTAAAATTGGAAAGTACATTGCATAGCAGGTTTTTCCACCTAAAAATAGAAAGGTGGCTTTGCTGTGCAAAAGGCAGGACTGGGGGCCCTCGTCCAGGAAGGAGAGGAAGTCATAACTGAGAATTGGCTGGCAGGGTCTTATTCCGGTGAGACCCCCTTTCCCTACTTTGGGAGGCGTCTCCTGAGATCTGACTTCAAGACCCTGCTCATGACCCTCCTGCTGCCCAGCCTGCTGTGTTCCACATGAAAGGCGTGACCCTTCCACTGTCACCGTCCTGCCCGGACCAGTACGCTCATGGCCAAAGCTTGCCTTCGCACGGGTCTGGGTCTTTAATACTGTGTGCACTAGCTCCAAGAATAACCAATGTTTTGGAAGAGCCTGTAGATATTTAAGGTGGTGGCGGTGTCTTTGCTGAATGGACAAAGATAAGGATTTGTGTATTCTTGCATGAATATAAAATGTGACCTGTGTTTCCTGAGACTGCCAGGCAGGTTGGCAAAGGGTCGTAGTTCACTGGTCTCACCTCCTGTTACATACCTCAGCCCTTCTCAAAGTGTCACTCAAGGATTTCGGAGCTTTCTTGGGGGTATTTCAAATGCACTCATAAACCAGCCCTTGTCATTTCCACTCGGTGTCTGCCACTGTCCTCATGTCCACCTCTGGCCTCTTCTAGGGGGAGTCCCATGTCCACGAGTCTTCAGCCAACAGCCCCTGGGAGAAGGCTCACACCCAAGACTTCGTCCATGAGTTGCAGGCCACCACTCCGCTCCATCCACGCCTGCAGATCTGTGCTGCTCAGGTTTTTCTCACAGCCTGTCTCTCCCCAGAACTCTGGCACTGAGACCAGATGGGGCTGTGCTCACTGAGATAGCCAAGTGACATCACCACACTGGACCCAGCATCATCCTGCCCTTCCCACAATAAATGCTTTGGTATCAGGCCAAGCTTCTCTGCTGACATTCTCTCTCTCCTTAGGGGTCCAGTCCCAGCTCTGCTGCTGACTTGCTGAGTGACCCTGAGGCAAAACATTTAACCTCTCTGGGTTTCAGTACATGTGTCTTTAAAGTAATGGGAGAGGTGAGAGCTGGTTGCTATCGTCCCTTCTGTGCCTGGATTTGATGAACCTCTGGAGCAGCGGTTCTCAACCTGTGGGTCGTGAACAATGCAAATACATCCTGCATATCAGATATTTACATTACGATGCATAACAGTAGCAAAATTACAGTTATGAAGTAGCAACGAAAATAATTTTATGGTTGGGGGTCACCACAACATGAGGAACTGTATTAAAGGGTCGCGGCATTAGGAAGGTTGAGAACCACTGCTCTGGAGACACAGTGCCTTGTCAAGGACACCCAAGACGTTATTAGTAACTTCCACGGGCTAGGCACTGACCAGGTGCTCTGTAAATAAGGAAATTGTATTTTCTTTCCTCTCTCAGACGAGGAACAGGCCTCTCAGACCACCATTCTGCTTAGAACCCTCCAGCGGCTTCCTGCCATACTTAGACAAACTCCAGACTCAGACACAGCCTCTCTCAGTGACATCAGTCATACTTCTCTCACTCTTGTGTAACACAGTCCAGGTGCCCCAGCCTCCATCTGGCCCTGCAAGGTGCTGCATCCCTTACCCAGGGCCCCAGGGCTTGTTCCAGTACAAACTGTCCCACTGGGAGTACTCTTCTCCCAGGCCTACAATTGGCCCTTGCTCATCATCCAGGTCCCCAGGGTGCTGTGTTCGACTTCCCCCCTCCCCCCTCACCTCTCCTGGCCCCCAGCCTGTCCAATCCCAGGGCGTGGCAAATTATGGTCAGCGGTCAAATCTGTTCACCTCTTTTCATTTGCATATTGCCTATGGCTGCCTTTGTGTAGACAGCAGAGATGAATACAGGTTCCCCCTGCTACCCAAAGGCAGAGGGGTCCCATGAAACCTTTTGTAAGCTGAGATGACATGAAGGGAGGAAGCAATCACCATGGACTCACATGGAGAAGTCTTTGAGTGTTCCCAGACCCCCAAAATAACCTACCAAACCATACCAAGTATGCTGAATTGTATCCAGTTTTATGCTAAGGGTTAACACCTCTCTCTTTCATCTCTCTTAGGCTTTCTCATACCTTAGGGCCACATCTTGCTAACAGATGCACAAAATAAATGGAGGGAAAGCCCAGATGCTCACAGACACAGGACTAAGGTCTGGCAGGTTGATGCTGAGTGTGGTCCCCCGGGAAGGAGCTTGGTGGGGTGACTCTCGCTGCTTGGGGTGCACGCCGCCTCTGTGACAGCCGGTCACAAAACAGAGCCTGAACTTTTATCAAGTCTTAAAGCCGGTGTGTCTTCATTTCAATTCAGTGAAACCCTCAATCATTGAGTGGCTAGTGTTTCTCAGTATGCTGCCCGTGATTGTTATTGCTACTGAGGGGGATGTACCGGTGTGGCCCAGTGGTCCTCTGGATATGGTCCCTGAACCATTCGCATCAGCCTCACTTGGGGAAATTATTAGACATGAAAATTTCAAGCTATACCCCAAACCTCCTGAATCAGAAACTCTGGGGGTGGGTCCCAGAAATTCGTGTCTGAACAAGTCTCTTGAGTGTTCTGAGAACCCCTGATCTGGAACGGTGGCTCCGAACTCTGGCTGCCCTTAGAACTGCCTGGGGTACTCTTTCCAAGTAGCAAAAGTTGGGTCTCGCCACCAATCCATTGAATCACAGCCTCTGGGGTTGAGACCCAAGCAGTGGGAGTTTTTAAAACTCCCCGATCACTTTCTGTTGAGTAGAGAGGTTGAGAACCGTGGACCTAAGCATCGGCATTCGGTATAGTCATGGTGCAGGCGTGGAGGTAAGCAGCTCTCATGCAAAGCAAACTGACCGCCTTTTAGAACAGAGGCACTAAAGAAAGTGCTGTGGATACACAAGGAGTAACATGCAAACACTGCCAGGTACTCTAACAGATTAATGTCCAAGCACTGGTTTGGTGCCATAGCACTTCTTTCTTGCTCCGTACGAGCCCAGTGCAGACCTGCAGGTCTCAGCTTCACACAGCCACTCCAGAGGACCAAGTTCCGTCCACCTTGTGGCTCCATCCATGCTCCCCTAGGTCCTCAGAGTCTTCCCCACTCAGCTGGTGGATGAGGAGACACAGTTCGGATCTCAGGTCCCGTGGCCCTGCCCAACTGCAGGGGAAGGTATGAACCCACAAAGAGAAACTGAGCACCCCCCCCCCCCCGATCCATTAGATGTGATTTTTTCCAAGTGACTGTCAACAAACATTGGAACAAACGAACCCCAAGTTTGTTGGATACATATGGACTTTGCATTCTCATCAGTAACATATAGACTCGCCATGCTGTTCAAAAGGAAGGTAAATGAAGTAGTTATATAGTTGGCTATGCTATTCGATCACTTGGATATAGAAAAAGTGTGAATATTTTGGGGGCAGAGTGAAAACAGGTTTGGAGGAGAAAGTCACCATAAAGGAAAGAGGAGGAGGAGGAGGAGACTGAGAACCTTCCAGAACTCATAGAGAGAGTAATTTTACTTCCTAAATATAACCGAGATGCTTCAGACAGGAAAAGCGCCTGACAAGGAGGCCTGCGAATGCTTCCCTGTACACACTGATGTCTTCTCCACCAAGCCCACCATGTGATGTGAGATGTGCCCCTTCTCGGCACCAGAACCTGCCAGAGGGTTTGTGTGAGTGGCCTTCTGGGTCATGTAGTAGCAAGAGCAGGGCCACCAGGATGGGCTGTGGGGTTTAGGAGAAGGCAGCGGTTCTGGGAGAGGCCGGCAGTCACTTACAGAGCTCATGCGTGTGGCTTTGCGTATTTCAGGAAACCCAATTTTAGAAGCTAGCTGTTTCAAAGATGTGTCCAGGGAGGTTCCAAATTGGCCAGAGATGATGGTTCCTGGGTGGAAGGTGGGCTAGCTGCATCTAGAACCAGACCTCAAAGGGTTCTTTTATCATTGGTCCCAGAAAAGTACAGAATGTGGGATGTTTGCCAGAAACTGTCAGTTCTGGGGATGCACTGTTGATCAACACAGACGTGCAGGGCCTGCCTTCCCTGAAATGGTCTTGTGGGGACTGCACGCGAGTCACCGGCCCTAACAAGGCAGTGCGATGAGTCCTCTGGGGACTCCCCCTCCTCTGGGGGGGTCTTAGAAGGCATCCAAGGCGGCACTGAGTTAGTTCTTGGAGGAAAGGGTGTATTGGTTATAATTGTGCTTGTCTACCCCCACCTTAACCTCTCCCTGGGGCGGAGGCAAAGGGTTGGGGGGAGAAACAGTGGCTTTCACAATTAGGAAATGTTGTATTTCCAGAAGTAAGCAGTTCAGGGTTATAGGACAGCTCAAAGGCCTCGTCTCAGTCATTCTTAGCATGTGGGTCTTGTCCTCATGGTTGCAAAATGGCTCCTAAACCTCCAGGCACCAATTCTATCTCCCAGGCAGTCACACGAGGAAAAGCAGATGGCGAAAGGCCAGCTGCACCTGCGGGAGGTTTTCCAGCGTCTCGTTCCAATGCCGCCTTATCTTTTTGGCCACAACCGTGTCCCATGGGTACGCTAGATGCCAGGATGGTGAGAAATGTAGCTCTTGGCTCTAAACTTTGCCAGCACAGACGAAACTGGACTTCTCTTCCTCGGGAAGAAGGCCAAGTGGCAACAGGGGAGGCAGTTACAACAGTTGGTCCCAGGGGTCAGGGCAGACGGAGGAAGTGAGAGCTGCACTCCCGACATTGCTCTATTGCCCCAGTGGTTCCTTTCATAGCTCGTGACCGAGTCCCACTCCGATCACAAGGCTGGAGCAGGTGAGAGGGACAGGCTGAAGCCTGAAGTCGCTGCCCCCTCTCCTGCCTTTGAGGCAGACCCCCAAGCACGTGAGGTGTGCTCAATGTTGGAAGGCAACCGTGAGCTCCACCGATTCCCTGCCCCTCCCCGACCTCACATGTAGTGTAGACATCGGAAAGCACCACCGTTCCCAGTGAAAGCAGTTTCATGCTTTTCTCCCACAGCATGTTAATTCCTCTGAGCACACGGCAAGGGGGAGCAAGCCTGCGGTCTCCTTATGTGCACAAGGACCCAGGAGCCCGGAGAGGGTTGAAACTCGCCCAAGGCCACACTGCTGGTCAAGGGCAAAGCCTAGACGAGGACCCAGGGCTTTTGCTTCCCAGGCCCGTGCTCCCTCCTCTCCAGGGCCATGTCCTGCCCGGAGTGGATACCTCAGAGCTGCGTGTTGAGCAGGGCAGAGGGGAGGGAGGAATGGAAAAGGGCACGTGCTGGGATCTCAGGCATTGGAGCAGCCAGACTTGCCATCCACCAGGTCAGATCAGTCCCCTGCCCTGCTCTCACCCAGGTCTTGCAAAGGGAAAGAGCGGTGGTTTTCCCACAACCAGAGGCTTCAGGAAGGAGTTCCCGTCCTAGCCTGTGGGATGCCCCTCTCTGGGCTGGTTCATTCTGTCCCCCCAGTCAGGCCCGCTGGTTCCTTCCCCTCCGTGCGGGGCTTGGGAAGCTTGGCCTGATACTGCTCCTTCTTGCTCTCCGTTCCCACTGGGCCTCCTTGGCCATTGGCTGCATGTCTGCTTGGTTCTGGGTGGAGTTGCTCTGGACCAGCTTTGGGAAGGAGGGGCCCTGGCCATGCCCCGAACATGCACTTTTTCTTTACTCCCTCCAGCCAGCATTCACAGAGGTCCCCTCCTCCTGCCCAGGCCTGCAGCCATGGCCTCAGCGTTAGATGCCAAAGGAACATTCATGCTCCTGTGCGGCCCAGCACCTGGGCACCGGGATCGGGCACCAGGCCGGGTCCTCATGGAGGCCCATGGAGGGGTCGGTGTGGACCGGGGATGCTGGGCTGTACCTTTCCACCACTGTTCCTGCGGCCTGCAGTGCCCTTCCTGTTCCTGCCAAGGACAATGTATGATTCAGGACCCGGGGCAAGTTTCTCTCTCCTATGGCAGGTCTTTCCTGGCCCCTGCCCCCTCCACCACCAGAGTTGAGGGGAATCCCTCCCCACTGCCCACCGGTCTCAAAGCACTCACCCCTGGCTCAGTGTATGTGCGTGATGACATGTCTCTCCTCCCTCCCCTTGGCTGTACAGGCTGTGCTCTCTCCATTTTGCTCTGTAGGAAAAACAGGCACAGAAACGTTAAGGAACTTGCTCAAGGTCCCACAGCCAGGAAGTGGAGGAGGAATTTCAACTGTAGGACACAAGCCATTAACCCTATGATGCAGGCCGCATGTTTGGTGCCAGCTTCCCTCCCTCCCAGCCACCCAGGATCCTGTACGTAGCATGGGCAAGGCATCCTCATGGGGATCAAGTAGACAAAAGGGCAAGACGCTGCCTGCCCCAACCCTTAGCATCCAACCTTTGTCCTAGTGCCAACGCGGGTGAGAGGGGGGAAGTGCTAAGGACGGAAGGGAGGGACGCAGGGTGGAAAGGTGTGTCTTCAGCAGCCCAGGAGGACACAGGGTCTGCACTTCTGGCTGAGGAACCTGGGCTGTTCCTCAGCGATTCAGCCAAGACAGGCAAAGAGCAGAGAGCGGGCCAAGACTCAGAGCCACGGTGGGGGAGCGGCCACCAGCTTCCCCACCGCCTGAGGACAAAGGGACATCTCTTTATCAGTTGAGGGTTGGCTGAGCACAGGTCCTCTGACACTGCGCTGGCGTTTGGACCAGGGCGGGTTGTCTGTCTCCTACTCTGGAGAGAGGTAGGGCTGGCTGTCACCCACAGACGTCTCCTCTCCTTTCAGATGCTTCCACACCCTCTGGAAAGCCACCACTAGTGAGAGATTTGGAAACAGGATCCCTTCCTCTTCTTTCAAGATAGGGTTTATTTACGTAGCCATAGCACTTGGCCGCTGGCTAAAAGCATCTAGGTTCCTTATCTGGGCGGAATTTCCCAGCGCCTAGGAAGCAGGCAGTGTCTAAGCTCCTGAGGGACCAGGCTGTTTGGAAACACTTCTGACCAACTGAGAAACCCGGGTGACTCATTCACCCTCCTGCCGCCTCAGGTGTCTTTGCCAGTAGGTGGGGTGATGACAGTGCCTGCCTCACAGGACTGTTATGATTAAACTAGAGGCCTGATGCATGAAATTCATGCATAAGGGGTTGGGGGGGGGGGGGGCGGGCTCAGCCTGGCCTGCGCCCTCTCGCAATCTGGAACCCCTTGGACATCCTTCTCGCTATCTGGGACCCCTCGCTCCTAACCGCCTGCCTGCTCGTTCATTACTGCTTAGCTCGCTGCTCTTTAGCACTGCTACAGAGGTGGGAGAGGCTGTGCTCGTCAGCCGTGAGCCTGGCTTCTGGCTGAGTGGCGCTCCCGCTGTGGAAGTGTACTGACCACTAGGGGGCAGCTCCTGCATTGAGCATTGTCCCCTGGTGGTCAGTGCGTGTCATAGCAACTGGTCATTCTGGTCGTGTGGTCATTCTGCCATATGGTCACTGGGCTTTTATATATAGAGATAAGTGATGGTGGGATTGGGACAATGTATAGCCCTCAACAAGTGATAAACGTTAGCTGTTACCATTCTCCCATTTTACAGGGGAGGAAAACTGAGGCTCAGAGAGGTGAATGACCTTACCCAGGTCACGGAACTGGTTGCTGGCAGAATGAAGATCCAACCTCACCATTGACCTTCCAACTTTGAGCCGAATGATCTTCAGTGAGGAGGGACCCCCCTCATTCACCAGCCTCCCAAAACGGCACTGCTCCTTGTCATGTGGACAGGACAAAAAGACTCCTGGTGGAGAGGATTGAAGAGAGGATGATGAGAAGGGAGAGCAACACTTGTTCACCTCCGGCCACGCACCAGGCCTTTCGGGTCAGGGCTCAGCAGGCTTTGCTCTGTGAAGGGCCGGGCAGTAAATACTTCAGTCTCTGTAGGCCAGCGGGGCCCTGTCACAGCCTGTCACTGCTGCACACAGGCAGGCACAGGGAATACAGGACTCAAAGGGCATGGCTGTGCTCCAACAAAGCTGTACGTGTGGACACTGAAGTTGGCATTTCACTTCATTTCATGTTTTGTGAGACGTTCCTCTTCTTTTTACTTTTTTTCAGCCATTTTGAAATGTAAAAGCTGTTCTTGGCTCAAGGGCCATATAAAACCGAACAGCACACCAGGTAGCTCAGGGCGGCTGCTTGTTGACCCCGGATGGAGGGGTTAGCGTCTATGAATCCTGCCAACACCTCTGACCCTCATGAGGAAGCGGCGGCTCCAGGGGTGGAAGACAGGCTCGGGGAGAGGGGAGCCGGGATTCAGTTCCTTGCTCTGTCCATCTGCTCCGCACGCCCTCGGACCTGGTGCTCAGAGCCCTCTGCATTTGTCACCACGTGTGAAGATGTAAGGTTCCCCTAATGGGGCAGGGGAATCTGTCCTACTGCAGGGGCCCCTTGCGTGTGTGGTGGCATTGCAGCCAGGGCACTGGGCAGGGACCACAGTCCTGGCCTGGCATGCGGCCTGGGCCAGTGGTTCTGTCCAAACAACCTTGGCTGAGCTCCGTGGCGAGGGTGACAAGACCCTCACTCACAGGGCTGTACTCGCAAGAAGAAGGTTTACAGGTCCCCATGGCAGGCAGCCCTCCTGGGATAACCCAGAAAGGTGGCTCAGTCTCAAGGACGTTGGCATCAAAGTGGCAACACAGTGTGCATGTCTGAAAGATAAAACTGGGCATGAGGTTTCCTGGAGGGTGAGGCCTGGGACTGGGACAGTTCCCAGCAGAGCCATCTGGCCTTGATGTCGCTCTTCGCCCCTCTCCACACAGACCTCAGGCTGGCCTCTGCCTCAGACCTCCAGACACAGCGGAGGCAGCGGCAGCGGTGAGGCCGGGTCTGGCCCTTCCTCCGTTGCACACGGGAGACTCAGCCCTGGCTGCCTGGCCTCAGGTCTGAGCTTGTTTCGGCTTCACCGGAAAGGAAAACGCCCCCGCCTTGTGCCAGGGGTGCAGTCTGGTCTGGGAGCTTCGGCAAGCCGAGCTGGCGGAGGAAGGGTGAGTGGCACCCTGGCACTTGTCTATTTATTCTGTATCCTTTTAACGTGGTTGTTACAAAAATAAACAGTCTCAAAGCGCAAAGCTTAGAAAATATGGATGAGACAAAAGAATGGAAACCCGTCTCCTACAAGTAACTGTGACTTTTCCTTCCAGTCTTTTTTCTGTGTGTGCACGTATGTGTGCTCTTTATCCAAACGGGGCCGTGGGCTACATTCTGCCTGGGGGATCCGTTTCTTCTTCATTCCACACAGTAGGGTGAGCATGCTCCCGTGTCCAAATACCGTGTTCTTTGCCATCCTTTTGCCCACCATCTGTTTGAAACTAGTCTTCTCTCAAAGGTGTGTGGTCCTTGGACTGTGGTCGCAGGTTGAGCCCGGATCACAGGATCCAGGCCTCTCTGGGTCAGCGTGTGGCTGGGCTCTGTGATTCGGGATCAGGGAACACCCCCAGGCTCGCAGTTTGCAGCCAGGCTTCCTGCCCCAGGCCCGCCCTGACTCCAGGGGGCGTCTCAAATTAGCCACACCCCCCTCTGGGCCTCAGTTTCTTCACCTCTAAAACGGGATGGTTGGATTAAGGGCTGTGTCATCTCCAACGTCCCATGACTAAGCACTTGTAGACTCACGGGATCCCAGAAGCCTCCGGGAAAGGTTTGCTGCTGAGGGGGAAGTTGCTCCTCCCCTGGCTGGGCTGGGGGTCTCTGAAAGGCCTGACAACCCTTCTGGGTAGCTAGTGCCCTGTGCTAGGTTCCCAGGGCTCCGGGCCCCCAGGTTCTCTCAGCCTTCCTGCCTCCCTGCCCAGTGTGGAGAGGGAAGCAGCAGCCCCGGTGCCAGCACTGACCTCACAGCTCCGCCACTTCTCAGAGTATTAATAGCTGGAACCAGTTGCCAACAGCTGCCGGTTACATTCTGAAATGAGAACCATGTGACTGGGGAGAAAGCAGGCTGGGCCAGTGCTGGGGCCACACGGCGGGATCTGGGAGGGGCCCAGAGAGCGTCCTTCCTTGGGTGGCCGAGCTTCTCCCCCTCCCCCTCCCATCTCCACCCCCACCCCCTGCTCCCCTCCCTCCGCTGCTCCTGGAGCCGCAGTTGGCCTTTGCCTGTCTGGGCTGGGGAGATGCTGCCGAGAAACTTGGAGGCCAAAGTAACTGCCGTTTGGAGGCTTCGAAGGGGCAGGGAGATTGTGAAAGAGAAGCAGCAGAATCCCTCTCCTGGAGGCTTGGACTGTTTGCCTTCCCCATTCTCCTGTTGAAATAATAATAGTCCCAACCATGGCAGCAACAGCGCTACCATGTAGTAAGTGTTTGCTGTGCGTTAGGCAATGGGCTGAGTGTTTCCCTTGCTTCATCGCGTTCAATCCTAGTCAGACAACTCCCCAGAGTGAGCCCAGCTATTATCACCCCCATTTTACTGATGAGGGCGTTGAAGCTCAGAGGATAAGCAGACCCCCCCCCCTCCACACACACACACACTCCATACACACACACACAGCTAATGAGCTGCAGGGCTGCAGTGGATTCAGGACTGTCTGACCTGAGCTTGTTCTCTTAAGCACCCACCCTCCTGAATTTCATGCCGTGGCTGGGCAGGCTCCCCCCACTGTAGTTTCAGCGCTTTCCTATATGCAGAGATTCCCACAGACTTCACAATTCTATCAGTTTCAGTTCGCCATCACTGATCTAGAGCCTCTGGTACTAGGATGCCCTTGTCTTCCATGGCACCATGGAAAGGGCATGTCTTACAGCTGTGCCTCCTGCCATGTGGATCTCACCTCTGCCACTTGAAAGTGTGTGTCTTTGGGCAACTTGCTCATCCTTTCTATGCTCCAGGTTCCGAATCTATAACACAGGGATAATACTATCCATTTTACAGGTTGACTCTTGGGGATTAAAGAGAATGTATATAAAGTACTGTCACACAATAAATATTAGCTCTTGTTCTAATGACTGAAAGAACAGAGTCCTGAGTCAGACTACCTGGGTTTAGTTCTACCTTGTCTACTTACCAGCTACATGAGCTTGGATTGTTTACGTTTACCATTCTGTGCCTCAGTTTCTTCCTCTGCAAAATGGGCATAATAATACGATTGTTGCAAGGAGTAAATGAATGCGTACACATGTATCAGAGCAACAGTAAGTATCTTAGTAAATATTGACACATATTAACTGCTCAATATATGCTCATTTACATTATTATTATTACTTCATTATAAGTATCATTTCAGTATTATTATCAGAACTGTTCATCATGCATCTGATTTATGGATTCAAAATCGCCTCACTGACGCTCCTAGATGACTATATTTCTATTCATGACACTACATACATGTGTAGGTCACCCAAATTTACAACTTCAGAATCATGTTTAATTCCCCCATCTCCAATCATCCTGTAAGTCCTGTCTGGAATGTTTCTCCACAAAAACTCTCTTTTCCTGGCCCCCAGGTGTTATGTCTCAGCAGGCATTCCTGCAGGATGTGAATGAGAATAGCAGCTCCTCTCCTGGGAGCCATTTCTGATGTGGGAAGAAGACGTGGTGACAGTGGGCACATGTTAATTCCACATCCATTCCCCCTGCTTGGTTATTTCTGACCAAACCATCCCAATAATGATGCCCTCCACTCAGTTTTGTCTACTCTCCTGCTGAAAAACAATCAATGACTCCCCAGGCCTTTTCTTTTTAGACTAGAAGCCTGTTGCACGAAGATTCGCGCAATAGGCCTTCCTTCCCCTGGATGTAGGCACTGGTTTTCCTCCGGCACCCGGGACCCAGGCCTTTGGTCCGGCTGCAGTGGAGAAGCCAAGCCTCTTCAGTCTTCAGTCTTTATTCCAGCCGGAGCCTTCAGTCTTCGCTCCGTGCCTGTGTATGCAAATTAACCACCATCTTTGTTGGGTTAATTTGCACAGTCTCTCTGATTGGCTGGTGGGCATAGTGGAGTGACACCAATTTGCATGTTTCTCTTTTATTAGTGTAGATACAGATTCTAGAGGCTGAGATTCAAGAATGTCCACAGTCTGGCCCAAGCCTACTTACTACAGGAGTCACTGTGGTTGGCTCCCTCCCTTGCATTTTGCTCAGGCAGTTACTTTGTAGCATTCATGGCAGTTCTACTGTCATCGATTCATCGATTGGGTCAGGAATGGGCAGTTCTAAGCCATTTTGTATCCATGGGATCTGGGTAGCGGTTTGCTCAGGACGGGTAAGAGAACAAAGCTATATTTTCCCCATGCCCTGGGTGCAGTTAGCCATCCCATAACCACGTGGATGGCCAGCACGAGGGTGGTGTGAACAGGGAGCAGAGGAAATCCAAGAGAGGAACTTGACCAAGTTGCTCCTGGAGTTCCCCTGCCTCGGGACCTCCAGTGCATGATACACTTATTTTTATTGCCTAAGCCAGTTTGAAACATACTTTCATTACTTGCAGCTCAAGAACCCTGATACACCCACCTTTCCAGCTTGATCTCTGGCCACACAGAAACACGTGCCTGTTCTGAAACTTCCCCACAGGTTCCTACCCCGGTGCCTTTGCTCCTCCATGTCTTCGGCTGGAATGCTCACCCTCAGACCCTACTGGTTTGAGTCCTTTGCACACTTCAAAGTCCAGATCCGAAAGCACCAGCTCATCCTCTCATTCTGAAGGGCGCTCTCCCTTCCGGGGTCTCCAAGATGCTCTGTATCTCTCCGCCCCAGAACAGTCAGCTTCCCAGTGTGCTCGTTTGCCTCTCCCGCTGGATTGCATGTTCCACGGAGGCTGTCTTTCCTCTTATCATCTCTGAATCCCTTCGTCTGAAACAAGGTGTCTTGGCAGACATTTGTTGCATTCAGATGTGGAATTCAATACAAATGATCACTAAATCTCAAACGATGGTACAATAATAATCATTGTTCTGTAAGAAAGGGTTATGATCTCTATGGGCTGAGAGGCGAGGAAAGGGTCCTTAGGTCTTGTGATGTGCCCCGGGTGGATGGGTAGAATTTGGATAGGTGGAGGAGGGGGGATTCTTCCATGGAGAGGGCCAACCAGGTGCCAGGCATCCGTTTCTCAGCTCCTCTAGCCACTGCAGTGTTGTAACTGTTGGGAAATGTGGTCTCAGTAATTAAATTCTGGTAGGCGGAAGAGGAGGAAGGTAGGTTTTGATGTCTTCATTTTTTTCTGTGGTTATAAATTAATAAAACAGAAGTGGCAGTTGGGGTTGGAGTAGGAGTATCTAGAGACTGTTCTCTACAAGCCCAACCACGCATGGGCTGGGGAGGGGAGGAGGGGCAGGGAGGGGTGTCTTGCTTATCACCGCTCTTCTTCCAGGTACCGAGTCACTCCCTGCTTCAGTGGGCTTACATATTCCAGGTTGTTATATGGGGGGTTGTCCGTGTAGGTACTGTCACAGACACATTGATATGTCTTCACCAACCATCTCATTTTCTCCACGGACACCCAACAAGACTGACTGCATTTCTTGCACCCCTTGCATCCAGGTGCTGCCATGTGACCAGTTCTTGTCTGCAGAATATGAGTGGCAATGGGGTATGCTACCTCCATGCCTGGCCTTGGAATGGCCTGTGCCATTTCCCCTGATCTCTCTTCTGACTTGCATCTGGCTAGATGCAGAGGTCCCAGGGAAGAACATGAGGGGGCCTTGGGGCATGGCAAAGCCACCAGATGGAAGAAACCTGCATCCTCGAGTCATGGTTTGGAAGGAGAACTGCCCAGGAATGCTGCTTGGCCAGGAATATCTGCATTGAAACAGAAAGAAAGAAAGAAAGAAAGAAAGAAAGAAAGAAAGAAAGAAAGAAAGAAAGAAAGAAAGAAAGAAAGAAAGAAAGAAAGAAAGAAAGGAAGGAAGAAAGAAAGAGAAAGAGGAAGAAAGACAGAAAGAAAGAGGAAGAAAGACAGACAGAAAGAAAGAAAGACAAAGAAAGAAAGAAAGGAAAGGAAGGAAGGAAGGAAGGAAGGAAGGAAGGAAGGAAGGAAGGAAGAAGGAAAGGGAAGTTCTGCTGGGTTAAGCCACTAAAATGTTAAGGTTGTTTGCTACTTAGCCAACCCTGCCTATTGTGGGTGGGAAAGGGCGGCTTAGCAGAATCTCCAGGCACAGCAGTTCTCCCAAGGTGATCAGCGAGTGAAGGGAAGAGGCCTTTACCTGACAGCCAGGAGAGAGACAGCTAACCGAGGCCCTCAGCAGCAGAAAGGCTCAGTATTCACTCAACTGGCAAGGGATGGTTTGCTCACTCCCCCGATGCTGACAGCAGATGGTGCCTGCTGGGCATTGACTCAACCCCTGCTCTTGGAGTCCCCTCTGGTCCAATTGCATATGCTTCTTCTTTTTAGGTCCAATAGCCCTCCTCCCTTCTCTGCCTTTCATGTGGATAGATATTACCCAATCATCAACCACAAAAAAATAAGCCCAACTTAAAGTCCCATTTACTGTTTATGGGAGGGAGGTGGGTGTCTGTTTCACTCCATACTATCCAGCATTGCATATGATCAAACTTTAATTTTTTTAAAAATTTTATTGTGGTAAAAGATGCATAACAAAAAAATTTACCATCTTAACCTATTCTAAGTGTATCATTCAATGGCATTAAGTGCATTCACAGTGGTCAACCATCACCAGCAGCCAGCTCCAGAAATTTCCTGTCTTGTAAAACTTAAACTCTTCACCTTCGAAACAACAGCTCCACATCCCCCCCCCCCCCCCTCCTCCCCACCCAGGCCCTGGAAACCACCATTCTATTTTTGGTCTCTATGAATTTGACTACTCTAGATACCTCGAATGAGGGGACTCATACAGTGCTTGTCTCTTTGTGACTATCTTATTTCACTCAGCATAATGTCCTCAGGGTTCATTCGTCAGCTTTTCTTTCTTTTTAAGGCTGACCATTGTTACATTGCACATATACACCACATTTCGCTTAACCACTCACCCTCCAATGGACACTGGGTCGCTTCCGCCTTTGAACTACTGTGAATAATCCTGCGATGAATACGGCTGTGCAAATATCCCTTCAAGACCCCGCTTTCCATTCTTTTGTCTACATACCCAGAAGTGGAATTAGTAGATCACGTGGTAATTCTACGTAGACCTTTTTGAGGAACCACCATACTGTTTTCATTTATGACTGTATTCTTTTCCCTCCCCACCAACAGTGCACAGAGGTTGTGATATCTCCACTCCTTGACAGTGTTATCATAGCGGTCCTGATGGACGTGAGGTGACATCTCACTGTGGTTTTGATTTGCATTTCCCAAATGATTAGTGGCCTTGAGCATCTTTTCGTATGTTTGCTGTTTTAATCTGCTGGAATTTTTATTCCCTTTTTCTTCTTCATTATATCTGAATGTCAAAGAGGAACTCCTTTCCCAACAATGAGTTGTTTGCACCTTGGGTCTCAGGAGGGCTACTTCGCTTTTGCAAACAACTAACTGCTCAAGCCTGGAACGAGTCGTACCTCGGCAGTGTTGGGGGAAGCTCATGATCTGTTAGTATTAAAAAAAAGAAAAGAAAATTCAAGCAGATTAAAACAGCAAATATGTGAAAAGATGCTCATCAGAGGCAAGGTTTACACAGCACTTTGAGGTTTACATGTTATCTCACTTGTTCATCACAGCAGGCTCGCAAGGTACAGAAGGTGGATGAGGAAATTAAAGTTCAGAGATGAAAACACAGAAGCAGAAGGAGAGGTTCTTTAAAATCATAACCACTGAACAAAATGCCTCCTGAGGCACAGCAGGCGTGGCTGGCTGCCCACCCAACATCCATCGTCTCTGTGCCTTTTGTCGAGCCCTGGTTTTGTGAGGGTTTCCACCCTCCCTACTCAGAATTCCATGACTAGGTCTGAGACAGTCATGGTGATTATATTCTCCAGCTCAGAGATGTAGGCCAACACAGTGTGAGGGGGATTTTAGGAAAGATTTCTTTACTTTATAAAAGGTAAAGCAGAGACACGATGGCCCCCTTTACTTTTTCTGAGTGAGGTGGTTCCTGGGCGGGATGCCTGGAATCGCAACATCTATTTTAAGATCACAAGTGGGACCAGTTTTAGGATGAAGCCAAGAGGCAGTTGACCTAGCAGAAGGACAGAAAGGGCCTGGGTTCAATATCACCGAGTCACTGATTATACCACAGTAGGATTTTCCCTTCTTGTGATGTGAAATAATACATTTTCTGATTGCTTGGCCCAATTCTAACTGGGATTTTTGTTTTCTTCTGTTTGTTGAGTGTTATGATGGGTGGAATTATGAATTGACATGAACGCATTGTGAAAACATGATTGAAGAGCTGTAAATGTCAGAGCCCAGGAAGAGGGACTGGCTGGGAGTCATAGGGGAGGCCAGGAGAGAAGGAAGGAGAGAGAGGGTCTCACCGTGACTGTGAGACAGCACAAGGTCAAAATGCTGAGGCTGAACCTACTGCCATCATGTCCATCAAGCAGGTCAGCGTGGGATCAAATACTGGGTCCAGGAAGAAACCTCTCATTCCCTGCCCTTAACGTACTTCTCAGCCCTGCTGGCATGGCTCAGTGGTTGAGCATCAACCTATGAACCAGAGGTCACAGTTTGATTCCAGGTCAGGACACATGCCCAAGTTGTGGGCTCTATCCCCGGTGTGGGATGTGCAGGACACAGTCAATGACTGATTCTCTCTCATCATTGATGTCTCTATCTCCCTCTCCCTTCCTTTCTGAAACCAATAAAAAAAATATGTATTTTAAAAAAACACAAAGTACTTCTCACTTCTCTAATCATCCTTTTACTCCCTGCCCCCCTTTTTTTGGACAGTGAGTTGAAAAAAATTGAGCATTCTCTCCCTCAGCTCTTCCCTCTCCCTCTGTTTCAGATATACCCACCTGCAGCAATAGAAAGTCCATTCTGGGCTACCACACACTCTGTGGAAAGTAGGGGAGGCCTGATGGGGTTTTTTGGGGGGATGGTGGGGGAGATGTGTACTTCAAGTTCACTTCAAGGAGCAATATTAGAAAGTTTCCTATGACTACATATTTGAGCCATATTCCTTTCTTCAGCTTTTCCTAGTAATGAAGCTAGTGTCTTAATCTCCATCTCTCTGGCTTCTGAATGTGTTTCTTAATTTGTTTTGAACTCAGGAAGGAAGGTGGAAAGCATTATCCATTGAGCCCCTAAACCTTAACCCAAACCACAAAAACAAAATCAGGAAGTGTTTAGTTTAACATAAAACATCAGGTTACATCTACTCCTCCATGGCTCCTATATGGCTCGCTGCTCCTATCCTATATAATAAAGAGCTAATATGCAAATGGTCATCATGCCGTCATGCCATAACGGCTCAGACACTCAACACCAGAGAGAGAGGAATGGGGACCAGCCAGGCTGTGGCCCGGGAGAGGGACAAGCCGCCCGCCCTGCGGTCCTGGGCGCCAGCAGCTGCGCCTGCAGCCTGGGCGAAGCCACCTGCCCATGGCCCCTGTGGCTGTGGCCAGCCCAGGCAAAGCTGGCCCGGGTCCTGGGTGCCTGCAGCCAGTCAGAGGGAGGGAAGCCTGGGTCCCAGGTGCCTGTGACTGGCCAGAGGAGGGAATCCTGGGTTCTGGGTGCGGGGAGAGGCAGAGGCAGTTAGGGGCAATCAGGTTAGCAGGGGAGCTGTTAGGGGTGTTCAGGCAGGCAGGCAGAGGTGGTTAGGGGTGATCAGGTAAGCAGAGGTGGTTGGGGCGATCAGGCAGGCAGTCAAAGGGGTTAGGAGTGATCAGGCAGGCAGGCGAGTGGTTAAGGGCCAGCCGTCCCAGATTGTGAAAGGCAGTCGGACATCCTCCGAGGGGTCCAAGATTGGAGAGGATGCAGGCTGGGCTGAGGGACACCCCTGCGCACAAATTTTGTGCACTGGGCCTCTAGTATAATTATATTTCCTGCAGGATGGGGAAGGGGTGGTTTAAACATGTCTGATGTGATCTGGAGTGTGGTGTCCAAAGTTAAGAAGCTGGCGTCCCACAAAGGCCTTTAAAGAACCTTACAAGAGACCAAGTAAGAACCGAAAGATGACTAATGTCTGACTCAAGATGGATGGTAGTTTGGTGAAGGCAGTGGGTGACGTGGGTGAGAGTTCTAAAATCATTGACCTGTGGATGGCGGCAAACCAGCCTGCGTTTGCTTCTAGAAAAATATTTGGGTTTCATCACAGGGTGTTGAATCAGCATAGTCTAAAGGAAGAGAAAAATCCTGTTAGTGGCAGTCATAGTCAATAGAGCTAGTACTAGTAATAGCTAAGGTCCATGAGATAGCAATTATTTAATTTCATTCAATGATTTTATTCACTTCTCACTACAACCCTATGGGTTGAATAGTACATCTCAGCCTTGTTTTACATTTGGGGAAATTGAGACTTAGATTAAGAAGTTTGTCCCAGGTCACACAGCTGGCCAGTGCCAAACCTGGGTTTTTAACCCGGTCACTGGGACCCCACACTTAATACTAACTGCATATTGCAATGAAACTGCTCAGAACCATTCCCATTCCCAGTAAGTTTTCTGAGGAAATAATTCGATAGATGACAAAAGTTACGCGCATAAAACTCCCATTGGAATGTCTTATACCATGGGGACCAGAGGAGGCAACGTGCATGCACCTCGGCAGCAGGGAAATATTTTAATGCGTTTTGCTACATCTAATCAATGGAATACTGGACATAATTTTAAAATAGTGATTATTTTGGAGCTTACATTGAAAAATGAGAATTATAGGCTACTTTACCAGGGGAACAAAACAGAAGAGAAAATGGTGTGTACACCATAAGGGAAACTGTGTACAAAGGAAAAATAGGCCCACCTGTGATAAAAAAAAAAAAAGACAGCAAATATGCAAAAGCAAAAATAACTTTTAATAACAAGAGGGATCCAGGTAATTTTTTTCTTTTTTAGTGTTTAGCCAAGAGTGTTTTCAACATTGCAGAGGCGCCACCTTGTCAATCAAAGCAGACAAGGTCTGCATGGGCGCCCTGGGCAGGACCACGTGCTTGTACACCAGCTAGTTCATTGTTGAGGAGAGGGGTCCCTGGCATCCTAGGGGGGGCTTCATGCAGCTCAGCTTCCTCCTGGCCAGCACCTTTTAGCCTGACCTGGAGAAGACTGCAATTCTCCCCTGATCCCAGGCCTCCTGGAACTTGAAATCCTGAATGCAGGTTCCTATTAGCATCCCCCGGGGGAAGGAAACGGGCTGTGACCTCAGACAGCTTGGATCCCAAAGGTCCACCCAGCCCTCAGCAGGAAGTGTTTTCCAGAACTTGCCCAAGGCCCTGTGACATCACTAAGGTGTGGGTGGAGAAGTCCTTGGGGCAGGTGAAAGTGTCCACACCATAAAGCTTCCCGGAGGAAATGACATGCAAATGAGGGAAGGGAAGGACAGAGAGAAACAAATGCTGAGCGGTGGGTGACAAGATAGAAAAAGGCAGTCTTATGAGCCAGTTTTCTCCATCCTCGAGGCCCTCATTGCAGTGGAATGAATAAAGGCTTTGGCATGAGACCAGGTTCCATCTCTGGCTGTGCTGGTTCCTTGCTGTGTGACTGTGGGTAAGCCACTCAGCCTCTCTGATCCTCAGATACTTTTATCTTGAAGTGGCCACATCACACAAAATTCCGCAAATATCCCCAGAAGCCTTTCTCCCAGTGCCTCCCAATGCTAGTAACATAGATGTCTCCTTTGTTGTCCCCCCTTTCTCTCTCCCTAGAGACGAACTCTCCTTAACCACCGAGACAGCAAAACATATCCTGTACCCTCCACGCCCACCCCACGGGATAGCTCCCTGTCAGTCTCTCTTTCCAACAGGACAAGCCTGTCACTGCTTCCGAGTGAAGGGACAGCTGTGACACAGGGCTGTCCTGATGCTGCACCCCACAGCCACCCTACCTCTCAGAGGGAGACTTTCCAGAATGCGTGCGGTGAGAGTGGAAACACACGAGGGACCCGAAACAGACTGCGAGGGGCTGACACTCTGTGGGTGGGGAAAGAGAAAGGGACAAACCCAGGCCAGGAGGGGGCAGAGGGCAGACCCAGGTGAAGCAAAGACAGTGAAGTTTTAAAAGGGGCATCAAGTGTGGCTGGTGGGAGGAGAAGTCAGTCAAGAGTAGAAATGAAGGGAAGTGGGGAGAGGTGGAGTGACGAGGAGGTGAGGCAGAAAGAAAGGGAAACACGTCAATTTAAAAGAGGAAAGAAAGAATGGGAGTGAGAAAGATGAAAAGTGCCTGAGACATTGATAAGACTCCCATCCTTCTCTGCGTCCTGCAGACCTCATCCACCCAGGCCCAGCACAGGAACCGCTGAGGGGAGCTGGCCCCGGTTCCTGGACATGGGGCTGTTCGTCCACAAGATGAGGCGATGGAAAAGGCCATTGCTGGTTGTCAGTGGAGATGCATGACCACTGTCCTGGGGAGGGGCTCCCCTACCCCACAAGGCTAGGCCACAATAAAAAAAGCTTTCCATCCATGAGCAAGGGCAAGCCATGACTTCCACGGTGCCAATCATCATTGGCAAAGCCCCATCCGTCTGAGGGGGGCAGGGCTTGCTCCTGAGAAGGCCAGATTAGGTGCACCTGGAACAAATACGTCTTTGGTACACACACCCTCGCTCTCTTGGGTTTTCCCTCTGTTTTTTCCTGAGTATTCAGAGTTCTGATGCCCTTGCCAAACGTGCTAGTGAGAAATGCTCTTCTAAATTCACTGACCCAGCCCTGGCCGGTGTGCCTCAATTGGCTGAGCATTGTCCTATGCACCGAAGGGTTGTTCGTTCGATTCCTTGTCGGGGCACATGCCTGGGTTGTGGGTTCAGTCCCCAGTTGGGGTGCATAGGGGAGGCAGCCGATTGATGCTTCTCTCTCACATCCATCTGTTCCCCCCTCTCCCCCTCCCTCTCTCTCTCCCCTCTCCCTTTCCCCTTCTTCGCTCCTCTCCCTCTCCCTCTCCCTCTCCCTCTCCCTCTCCCTCTCCCTCTCCCTCTTCCTCTCCCTCTCTCTCTCCCTGACTCTAAAGTCAATAAAAACATATTTTTAAAAATAAATTAATGAATTGACTCAGCGGCTAAAGTGACTGATAAGGCTTTAAAAGTGCAGATGGTAAAGGCTGGGGCATCAGCTGGCTGGCAGAAGAGGACTGACAGGGCCTCCTCCGAACGACACATGGGGGCCCCGCCTCTTGCTCCGCAGGTTTGCCATCCTCCCTCCCCACCACTTTTCAGGGGCCACCTGAGCGGGCCACTCACAGCGCTTGTAAGACTGGGCCAGATCCCCGTGGGCCCCTTGTCCCACAGGACCGGCGAGGATGGGCGGGATTTCCTCTCCATTTCTGTGGCACGGTCACCCAGCCTGCGGTGGAGACAGCCCTCAGGACAGGGCGGTTCCCTAGAGATGACGTCAGAGTCACTTAGCAAGTGTATGTGTGTGCGTGCAACTGAATACACCAGTTATGTTTACTGTGTCCTAAAATGTTTTTTAATGAGATTATTGTTTGATTCATATATATATATATATATATATATATATATATATATATATATATACACACACACACACACACACACACACACACATATACACAAACCTCTAGTGGTGAAAACTTAAATTCACCAATAATGTAATAATACTATTGTGGTCATGTTATTTTAAAGAGCCCTTATATTTTAGAGATAACATTGACATATTTGCAGATTAAAAGATATGACGTCTGGGATTTGTTACAAAACAATCCGGTGGCGAGGAAGGAAGTAGGAGGGGCAGACAGATGACATGGGCCGAGTTGCCAACTGCTGAAGCTGGGTGATGGGTACATGGGAATTTATACTTTTCTCACTACCCGTATGTCTGTATTTATGGTTAACATGTTCATAATTAAAAAGTGCTTAAAGATGTTTATCTTCCTTTTGTGCCATATGTCTCCTACCATTCACTTACTTAGGAAAAAAATTCACCAAGAATCCCATCTCATATTCTTCCAATAGTATTTTTTAATAGTAATTTTTGAATTACAGTTTACATTTCATATTATTTTGTTGTAGTTTCAGGTGAACCGCATGGTAGTCAGACAATCCTATACTTGACATAGTGATCCCCTGATATTTCCAGTACCCACCTGGCTCCATAAGTAGTTATTACATTATTGACTATATTCCCTGTGCTGTGCTTTACACCCCCATGACTATTTTGTAACTACCAATTGGTACTTCTTCAGCCCTTCGCCATATTTACCCAGCCGCCACTAGCCTGCTCCTCTCTGGCAATCATCAATCTTACCTCCGTATCTGTAAGATTGTTTCAATTTTGTTTGTTTTGTTTGTTCTTTAGATTCCACATACAGTGGAATCATATGGTATTTGTCTTTCTCAGTCTGATTTATTTCGCTTAGCATCATCCCCTCTAGGTACATCCATGCTGTGACAAATGGTAAAATTTCATTCTTTTCCGTTACAGAGTAGTATTCCATTATGCAAATGTACAACAGCTTTTTCATCCACTCATCTGTTGATGGACACTTGGGCTGCTTTCACATCTTGACTTTTGTAAATATTACTGCAATGAACGTAAGGATGCACATATTCTTCCAAATTAGTGTCTAGGGTTTTTGTTTGTTTGTTTGTTTGTTTTTCGGATATATACCCAGAAGTGGAATTGCTGAGTCATAAGGCAGTTCCGTTTTTAATTTTTTGAGGAACCTCCATACTGTTTTTCCACAGTGGTTGCATCAATCTGCATTCCCACCAACAGCACATGAGGGTTCTCTTTTCTCCACATCCTTGCCCGTACTTGTTTGTTGATTTATTGATGATAGCTATTCTGACAGGTGTGTGGTATCTCTTTGTGGTTTTAATTTGCATTTCTCTGATGATTAGTGAGGTTGAGCACCTTTTCATATGTCTATTGGGTGTCTGTATGTCCTCTTTCTTCCAGTCCTTTTTCTATACTTAGATATACATAGAGATAAATTGTACTCTATTGGGACTTGTCACAATATGTTGAAAATAAGACCTTGCTTATTTGATCAAATATTAAAATTGTGCACACTCTATTTGAAGGATTTCAAAATTATGTTTTGTGTTAATTTTTTGAGAAATTTATAAAAAAAAAAAAGGAGGGGATGTCTATAGTCAGACAACTTGGAGGAAAACTGCATACCAGGCTCCCTCTCTTATAATGAACATTAGCAATGGATTATATACTATTGGAGACTAGGGACTATAGGGCGTGTTCATCACCGATCCACAGGGCTAAGCACAGAGCTTGGACTAGCAAAACATTCAACAAATGGCTGATGGGTAAAATCTTTCTTTAAAAAAATAATAACTATAATTTCTGGACCCTACTGTACTCCAAATTCTGTTAAGCTAAATAGATATATAATTACTTTAATTTTCACAATAATTATAGAAAGCATTAAATAAAGAACTTAAACTCCAGGAATTGAGTTAATTGCCCAAGGTTACACAGCAAATAATGCTCTTTAGTATCATATAATATTATATCCAAAATTGTAACTATGAAGAGCCAGATAAGTGCAAAGAGTCCATTTCTGGATGGTGGACGGGGGTGGATCATGGAAAGAGAAGGTCTTGAGGTGAGGAGGATTGAGCTAGAGGGCGACCTTCTAACAAAACTATCCATCAAGATCTCATTCAGAGATTCTTCTTTCTAGAGCAGTGGTTCTCAACCTTGGCTGCACATTAGAATCACCTGGGAATCTTTTTAAAATCCTGATTTCTGGGCCTCATCCTCTGGAAATTCTGATTCTTTGTTACTAATGTTGTGTGGCCCCACCCCATCACAAAGAAACAGAATTTCCGGAGGATGAGGCCCAGAAATCAGGATTTTTAAAAGATTCCCAGGTGATTCTAATGTGCAGCCAAGGTTGAGAACCACTGTTTTAGAGCCTCTCTGAAGTACACCAGTCTCCCTCACTACTCTTTGAACTCCTTCATTATTTACTACTCATCCAGCTCATTATAAACTGCTTTGGAGGGTCACTGGACTTTCTCTAAAGTTGACTTATATGCTACATTTTTATTGCTTACTTATATTAGGTTCTTCTCTGTCTTTAGGCACTTTCAGGTAATGGAGAATTACCCTTCCCCAGCCTCTTTGCAATTTGATGGGGTCATGTGACTAGTTCTAGCCAGTGTGTTGTGAACAGAAATGGCATATATTCTACCTGAGCCAAAGCATTTAATCACTGGTATGAGGTCTTCTACTGTTCTCTTTCCCTTTTATCAGCAATTGTGTTAGAATGGAGGTGCCATAAAATCAAAACACCCAGAATCACCAAGCTACTGCATAGAAGGCAGCTACTTTGAGGAACTGTCTGGCCTCACAGCAGACTTAGCATGGCAAGAAGTCACCTCGGTGATTGTGTCAAACCACTGAGATTTTGGTGATGTTGTTACTGCAGCACTACCCGGACTATTCTGGCTAATACAACTTAATATTTCATCCTGATCAGAGATGGCAAATATTGATTACTCATGTTATCATTGCCCCATCCCACAGATGTGATATTACTATTAACCCATCACTGAACTCCTACCACTTGATCTGTAAGGTCTCAGAATCTGTCTCATCACAGTGCCCTTAGCAGTCACAACTAAGTGGAGCTGAAAAATAAGGGGAACCCCACCCAAATCGGTGCACTGCAAACAGCATAAAATCCAAACTTTTTACCGTGGATTGCAAGGCCACACAAGAGCTGGACGTCACCCTCCTCTACCATCTCATTTCCTACCACTGACTTTCTCTTTCACTCTGATCCAGCCACGCTGGCCTTTTCTGTTCCTCAAACAAACCAGGAACATTCCTACCTCAAGTCTTTACATTTGCTGTGACCGTTTGTGGGGTTTTTTTGCAAACCTTTCTCTCATATTTTTGCAAGTTTGGCTCAAAAGTCACTTCTTCAGACAGACTTTTCTGTCCACCCTGTTCAAGTTACCCTGCACCCTCCCCTCCCCTCCTCAATGATCATAAAATATGGCTGTTTCTTTTCTTTTTTCTTTCTTTTTTTTCCTGTTGCATTCCTAGTGTTTAGAGTAATGCCTGGAGCAGACAGGTGTTATTAAATATTTCTGGAACTAATGAAGGCAACTCATCTACCAACACTCATCTAGACCATAATCTTTTGAAGACAGAGGGCAGGTCCAGGTTCTCTATGGCTTTTCTTCGATGCCTAGTCCACGTAGTGCATACAATAGGTGCCTACTAAATTCCTGACTGATGGTTAGAAGACTTTACTTCCCTTCACGTCATACTGGATTCCTGCCTGTGCCTTTTGTACCTCCTCACCTCTCATATGCTTTCTCTAGTTATGTCATCTTTCTCATCTTTCTCCTTTCCCCTCCCGCATCACATCCTCTCCTAATTAAGTTCCGTGTGAGTCTCTTTCTCACCCACACAATGCCTTCTAAAGCAGCAGTCTCCTGTGGTTGAGGAACGGTATCCAGCAATAGAATGGGTTCTGGCCTGGCCTCACATCCAAGGTCAGCACCCATTCCCTTCCCTACAGGAGTTGATGGCAAGCCCCGTCAAAACTTGGCAGCAACCTCATGCCTGTACACTGGAGCCCAGAAGTTGTGCCCTTTGGGTGTTTGCGAGAGAAGCAGCTGTTACCATTTGCCAGCTGAATGGGTTTGCCTTTGAAATAGACTGTAAGGCATGTTCTGACAGAAAGGGGCTTTCTGGAGAGGTCCTGGAAAGACAAGACTCAGAACACCTGCCACTCATTTGGAATGCCATGCAACTGTGGGCAATCATCAGAGATGTCTAGATTCTTAACAGTGAAGGAGAAATAATTGCATCCTTTAGGTATAATTAGATAATATGAGGGAGGGGTTGTAGAAGAGGTCAGGTGGTTTTAAGAGAATGGAACTTGGAACCAGAAGACCTGAGATTTAGAGACAGAAGTCTGAATTCAAGACCCAAATATAGGTACATCCCCCATTCATTTGAGCCCCTGTTTACTGTAAAACAGAGTGATGCTCTCATATGTTCATCAAGTCTTGTTTGTTGCAACAGAAACCCCTTTAAGCTACCACAAGGAGAACAAAAAGGGTTTACTGAAGGCCATCGGGGTGCAGCACAGAAATCAGGGACAAGAATGGAGTCAGGGGGCAAGAATGGAAAAAAGTGTCAGAACTCAAGTTTTTCTGCTTTTTTCCGAGCTTCTGCCTTATTATTCTTTCTCCATACACATGAAGGTATATATTTACCCCATAGCTTCCAAATTTGTCTTACATATTCAGCCACACTCTAATCCCAAATTTTTTAGAGTAAAGACTCTGATTGGCCCAACTTGCATCAGCTGTCCAGAGAAGGATCTATAATATACGGGCTGGACCAGCAATTCAGAAATTGCAGAGGAATAAACACTATTCTGTTTATAGCACCTGAAAGTTTCAGGTCACATAGCTATCTCACAATGGTATAAGGAATGAAGGCACAGTCCTATGCAAACCTAAATTTTTCTAGTAAGTATTCAAGGTCTGAGTCTATACATTTAAAGTTGCCTTATTTTAGGAACTTAATTTTTCATTGACAATAAATATTCCCCACCCTCTACCTTAACAAGTTTCTCTCTATCTCCTCAACTCTAACAAAAGCTTCCAAAGGAGATCTTTCTTCTGAAAAGAAACTAACTGGAATAAAATTCAGTAAAAACTAAGACACCATTGAGTTAGCATTTGTGTTAGATTAAGAATCAGGAAAGGCTCAGAATTTTCTATTTCTACATCTCTTAATAGCAAGACAGGTTTCCTTTAAGTAAAAAAAAAAAAAAAAATGTGCCCCTGGGTAAGTCACCTCACCTCCCTAGGCCTCAATTTCCATATCTATAAAATGGGAATGAACTTTTCATGGGGTTGTTGTGACTATTAAATGTCATTAGGCTTGACCTGTACTGAGTACTGGTGGTTAGTTGCAATGCTGATGATAATGGTGATAGCGGTGTTGGTGGTGGTGGTGGTATTGTTGGTGGTTATGTTAGTAGCAGTGGCGAAGTGGTGATGATTAATTATCACAGAATCAAGAGTGTTACATTTTTCTCAGCACCTAACACTCACATACTGATGAAAAAAAAGAGAACAAGAAATTTTCAGACAACCCCAAGGATATTAGTCACCATGTACAGGAGTGAACAAAAATAGGTTTACAGTTATGAATACATCAAACAGAGTTTACGCTTATATTATTATGTATTAATTACTGTATTATTTATCATACGAACAACTGAAGCCTACTTTTGTCCACCCCTGTATATATTAACCATGGATGTGACCAACACAAATTATGCTTAAATATTCATTATGCAGATCCCTTAAAATCCTTCCAAAAGGAATTTAACTAACAATTTGTTTGGAGAGGAGACAAGATGAGTGTTAGGTCGGAGAGAGCCCAGGTTCGGATGCATGCAGACATGTGATGAGATAATGGACTTCCCCTGGAATTTCTCACAGATCAAGGTGCCAGACACAGATACAGGCTTCTTCTCCCTTAATCCACATACTCCCGCCCATTCCCTGCAGCAGAGAATTCCTCAGCTCATGTCCCCGCCCCTCACCCAACCGCAGTATAAATAAAGCGCCCCCCTCCCTGTTGCCCTGTCCTTGGGGTACGTGGGTCTCCCTGGGACGCAGAATAAACCTTTTCCTCTCCTTTCTTTTCTGATTCACTGGACTCTATTTCTTGCGCTGCCTCCTGAGCCACCTAACCTAACAATGAGTAAATAAGAATTTTAGTTACTACACGTACTTAAAAGGAATAAAATTACATCTCTTTTAAATAATAGTGCAGCCCTAGACAGTTTGCTCACTGGGTAGAGCATCGGCCTGCTGACTGAAGGATCCCATTTGGATTTCAGTCAAGGGCACAGGCCAGGATTGCTGGCTTGATCCCCGGTAAGGGGCATGCAGGAGGCAACCAATCCGTGATTCTCTCTCATCATTGATGTTTCTATCTCTCTCTCCCTCTCCCTTCCTCTCTGAAATCAATAAAAATATATTTAAAAATAAATAAATAAAATCTCACACAATATACTGTTTCATTTGTCTTCCTCCCAATTAGCTTGCTACATAAAGTCACACATGATTAATTCAAATTTTGTCTTCGAAAAAAATCACATTTCTGTATTAGTTACAATCTACTTGTGGGATCAGGTCCCGTCGGCATACTATTTTAACATCCGAAAGTCTGCGTAAACCCGTTTTGCAACTGACATATCTAGAATCTAGGGGCGCTTTGTCCCCTGGAATTCCCAGGGTGCAGCAGTCACACCGACTGCTTTCTTTGCCATAATTTGAAAGCCTTACTAATTCTAAGGCTTCCCCACTCCATAATCACAGTTGGTCAGTTTGAGATTAATTAGTCATTCAACGTCATTTACCATGAAGATTGCTTACCAGATTACTGGTTTAGACGTTACTAATAATTAGTTCCCGAGAACTTTTCCACCACTGCTCATTTGCATATGTAGAATCACACTGAGAGAGTGAACTAAGAATGGATTTTTTCTTTGAGTTAAAGTTTAACTGGAATGGCACTTTTCTCTTTACCTTGCCATTTTGCTCCTTCTCTGGGACACAGAATTGAATGCTGTCCCTTTAAAAGAGTCCAGTGGCCTTCTATGTTTATAATTCTCAAATCCCATGGTTCAGGCTCCACACACTCCTGCTCACATTTGGTTTAGATTTGACTTTTCTTTGCTGGAGAAGAATAAGATTTATCACTAGACAGAAGCCAGCAAGCCCCAATATTTAGAAAAAAATAAATAAACAAACACTAGTCTGCCAGCGTGAACCAGGCTGTGGCTCTCCTGCCTGCGTCTTCTAAAAGACGTCACCCACCTATGACACCGCTGCGTGCATTTGTCTAGAATGTGTCCAGGTGTCTGAATGCTTCTACCTGTTGGCTCATAGGATTCCCAAAGTCCCCCTCTAAAATGTGTTGGGAGGAAAAGGAACAAGAGTCATTTATGTAACGCGTGCTTACTGAGCATACTAGAGAACTGTCAGGCACTGAGGGCTGAACATGGACTAGTGCCTAAGACAGGCTGTAAGATTGGAGTCGCTCAAGGAAATAGGCAGATGCAGCGAGCAAGAGGGGAGTTTATTAGAGGGAATGGGAATGGAGCCCCAACCAGGGACGGTTAGGACTCAGTTTCCCCTCTCGTTGGGGTTGAATTTTATGTGCAAAAACCGCAAGGGGTGGCCCTAGCCATTATGCTCAGTGGATAGGGCGTTAGCCTGTGGACTGAAAGGTCCGGGGTTCAATTCTGGTCAAGGGCACATGCCCAGGGTTTCAGGCTCGATCCCCAGTAGGGGGTGTGCAGGAGACAGCTGATCAATGATTCTTTCTCATCATTGATGTTTCTATCTCTCCCGCTCCCTCTCTGAAATATATATATATATATAAAAGAAAAACACAAGGGGCGGAGGCTGGGGGATGTAAGTGCTCTCGTCTGATTAGATGGAGCTGGTTGTCCTTCAGACCGATTAGCGCTGGCCGTGGAGGCTGTGGGCCTTAAGTGGCTGTTGTTATTGTTGGCCTGCAGTCTTGCCCTCGGTGCGGCTGCCTGTTGTGCGGGATAGGGTGATCGCTGGTTGTTCTATGAAATAAGACTGGGGCCACTTTCTCGTTCAGGACTTTCTAGTCCGCTTGAGCCACGGGTCCTCTGCTGGCCTGGCCCAGACGTGTCCTGCCTGAGGCAGGTCCTTGAGTCCCACGATGAGGCAGGGAGGCAGGCGCCCCTGTAAAGGTCTTGATGCCTTCTTTCACTTACTATTCATAACGAACTGTGAGGCAGGTCTTCTTAGTCTAATTTGGGGCCCGGGACAACTGAAGCTCCCAGAGGTTAACTGAGAGTAAAGTCACTGGCTGATCGCAGGGACAGCTGTGCTCAGCCGTGGGCTTTCTCAGCTGTTGATTGTGTCCTGGATTCTCTCCAAATACGACCTCCTGTCAGCCCAGATCAATTCAAGCTCTCTCTTTTTCAGTTCCCCACGTGCCATTGAAACATGAATTTTCTGGGTAAAATAGGACAGGTTTAGGAAATTGCAGAAATTTTGGTAATTAAGGGGACCATGGAGGGAGCACAGGGCTGCAGAGCAGCAGGAGGTATATTTCCATAGAATAGGGGAAGCTGAAAAGCTGCAACAGGTATATTTCCATAGAATGAGGGAGCTGGGAACAGCAAAAGGTCTATACTTACAAAATAAAGAGAAGGAAGCTCTTCATCCAGAAGGAGAGGAAGAAAGCCCAGGGGGGAATAGGAAAACAATGGGGAAGGAGGTGGGGGGAGAACCTCGCAAGTCCCATGTGAGGTTCAACCTTTGAGCCCAGGAGCTACTATAGTAACCAGTCTAAGGGAATAGTGACTAATCAGAGGGGATAGCAAGGCACCAGGATCTGCAGCCTTTATAAGCCATGGGGAAAAGTAACTCAGTGGGACCCTTTCCCCCTTCTCCATGTGGGAGTCCATTCTGTGGGACTCCTTCCTCTCCCCACGTGGGAGTCTGTATTTGTTCTTCAATAAATCTCCACCTTTGCTATACCACTTTCTGTCCGTGGATTCATTCTTCGATTCCGGTGGACAAAGAATCCGGGTTCCATTCCAAAAATTCAGTTTCACCATGGTTTGGCTTATCTGGTGCAACACCCAACAGGTGGACTGAGTCAGTATGGAGGCTAGAGAAGACCATGGGAAAATCTCTGAGCCAGTGGTGTGGGTGGCGTGTCTGGGCTGGAAGGAAGATGAGAGAGGAGCTCAGAGAGGTGATCCAGGAGTTCCCTAAGGCCAGCCTGACTCAGTAAGTCACCGGGTCAGCTTGCAATGAGTCAGTTGTGGCGTGGGGGCTAAGGACCGCAGTCCCTCACCAAACTGTCGGGAAGCGGGCCAGCCGAACAGCCCCCCCTGGGAGAATGATCCTAATTACAATCCCTAGAATTTGCATGTCCCTCTACAGTTTACAAAGCACTATCCACAGGTTTCTTCATTGGCTGACTGCTTCCTGTGCACACGCAGAAGGGACCAGGGTTTGAGATGACCTAGTAGTCGTAGTTTTATATTTGTTTAAAAAGTAAAATCCTTTGTCAAAATGAAATCTCACACAGTAGTCTAGTGTATAAGGTGAATGAGAGTGGACGGGGACAGGGGGAGGGAGGCACAGCCCGTGCTTAATTAAGCCTTTGCTTTGACCTCTGTTTGTTGCTTGAGGGGTCTCCAAGGAACCCCCAAGTTTCAGGAAAGGCAGCAGGACAAACATTGTTTCTAGTGCATATCCACCCTGCTCCACGCCCCTCCTCCAAAGAAGAAAAGCTGAATGCCCTGGAGGTAACACATCCAAGGTGACTCTTTGTCTGGAATTCACCAGGGCTGTTTTCTCACTGTGGTTAATGCCTGAGGATCTACCTGGGAGCCAGTTTGCCCTCCAATTGTTTCAAGAAAATGACCCTGACAACAACAGGGTCAATTCTCCTACTCCCAGCAGCATTTTTGAAAGTGCCTGCTCTTCAGGTGGGGCTCAGAGGCACTTTCAGACAGGCCACCTCTTGAATCATGGGATGCTGGCTGAGTGGTTGGGGAGTAGTAGGTCCAGTGATTTTTTTCAGTCCCAAACATTCTCCCTATCAGGATGCAGGCTCTCCCCAACTCAAAAACGAACATTGAACTAGAGTGTGGTTGTTATTAGCTGAATGTTTGTTTGCCTACAAAATTCATCTGTTGAAATCCTAACACTCTCCTGCTCCCCACCAACTGTGATGGTATTAGGAGGTGTGGCCTTTGGGAAGTAATTAGGTCATGTGGATGGAGCCCTTATGAATAGGATTAGTGCCTTTATAAGAAAAGACACACAAGAGATCTTACACCCCACCCCCCAACCTCTCTACTTCCCTTCTTCCCTCCAACATGTGAGGTTAGGAGGTGACCATCTGCAAACCAGGAAGAGTGTTCTCACCAGAATCCAACCACGTTGCACCCTGGTATTAAACTTCCCAGCCTCCTGAACTGTGGGAAATAAATTTCTGTTAAGTTGCCCAGTCTGTGGTGTTCTGTTATTTAGCCTGCACGGACTAAGATAATGGTGGTGGTTGCACAATTTGTGAATGTACTAAATGCTACTGAATGGTTAAATTGGTAAATTTTGTATTATGTGCATTTTAGCACAAACATAACAATAACAACAATTTAATAATAATAAAACTTACATTGGCACCCTATTTCCAGGGATCAAGTTCAAACTTCCGGGTATAGTTTTGAAACAGGAATTTTCAGGGTAAAGCAGGACAGGTTTAGGAAATTTTAGAAATTAAGGGGACCATGGAGGAAGCACAGGGCTGCAGAGCAGCAGAAGGTGTATTTACATAGAATAGGGGAGCTGAAAAGCTGCAACAGGTACATTTCCATAGAATGAGGGAGCTGGGAACAGCAAAAGGTCTATATTTACAAAATAAAGAGAAGGAAGGCCTTCATCCAGAAGGAGAAGAAGAAAGCCCAAAGGAAATCGGAAAACAATGGGGCAGGAGGGGGCGGGGGGGGGGGGAACCTCTTGTGTCCCATGTGAGGTTCAACCTTTGAGCCCAGGAGTTACTATAGTAACCAGTCTAAGGGAATAGTGACCAATCAGAGGAGATATCAAGGCACCAAGATCTGCAGCCTTTATAAGCTATAGGGAAAAAGAACTCAATGGGACCCGTTCCCCCTCCCTACCTGGGAGTCCATTCTGTGGGACTCTTTCCCTCTCCCCACGTGGGAGTCTGTACTTGTTCTTCAATAAGTCTCCCCCTTTGCTATACCACTTTCTGTCCGTGGATTCATTAATCGATTCCGGCGGACAAGGAATCTGGATTCCAGTCCAAAAATTCCATTTCAGTTTACAACCTGGCCCTTGCTTACATCTTAAGCCTCAAGTCTTGCTGTGTGCCTCAAACTCTTCATCTGGTCGAATGTTCAAGTCACTCCAAACTGCTCTCCACTGCCTCAACAAGCCATCCCCTTTCATGTCTCCACGTACACTCACAATTTTGCTTTTAGTAATTATAGCAAACACTTATCATAGCACTTACTATGTGCACATACACATATATGTCTAGTGCTTAATATATGCAGAACTTTTGATTTCATTCAGTCTTTAACAATTCCATGAATTATACTGTTATTAACCCCATTTTAGACTTTAGGAAATCCAGGCACTGAAAGGATAATTGACTTGTTCAAGGTCACAGGACTAGTAAGCAACCAAGGCAAGGTGTGAACCCAGGCATTCTGCCTCCTGAATCCTTACTATTGATCACAACAGAGTACTGTCTGTGGATGCTCTGCCCCTGTGGTTCTTCTGGAGACTTCCTTCTCCTTCTTCAAATATCACTTCCACTGTGAAGCCCCCCTTGATATTCCCCAGGAAAGGGTGCAACTCTTTTTTTCTAGGATCGATAGCACTCTGCACACATGTATTGTGTAGTAACAGCTTGCTCATGAGTCTGATTCCCTACCAATGTGTGAGGTCCCTGAACAAGGGCAGGTCTTATTTCTCCGGATGCCTTTGAGCACTCATTACATATTTGATCAACTACAGATGGCTGAATGCACTTTCTCTCCATTTTTCAAATTCTTTCAATAAATAACAGAATCAGAAGGGGATTACATTCCCTCAGAAATTGTGACATGGCTCCTTCAGGGTCTGGCCACCATCACTGATAACCACTATCATTTTCTGGGTATCTCACCCACCAGGCAAGACGTCCATTCAGATTTACGTTCAGCAGTCCACACAAACAATAAACACCACTTTTGATTTTCAGGTTTTAAATTACACTATATTAGAGGTAGATATGAAATGATAATGCAAACATGATTTCTCAAACTCAAAATGCCTCCCTGAAGAATATGACAGTCTCCTTCCTTGTTGAGAACTACTGGGTAGGATGGATGGGGGGAAAGTGGATTCACATTTGCACAGATAGGAGTATAAATTGGAACATGAAAGTGTGGGTGGATGAGAGAGGATGGATAAAATGATGAGTGGATATGTGGATGATGGATGGACGATGCATGGATACACTGATGAACAGGTATGTAGGTGGACGGATGGAGAAGAGGGTAGATCGTGTGTAGATGGATACAGGTTTATGAAGAAATGTGGGGGAGGAAAGTATGGAAAGATGAATGAGAAGTTGTATGGGAGAGCAGTTGGATAAATGGAGGGACAGCAGCATGGATGGACGTGTGGGCCCTGAAGGGATGTAAGGAAAGATGGGTAGATGGATGAATGGGTGGATAGAAGAATGTCCCAGAGGATGGGCAAGAGTGTGGGTGAATGGATACATGAATGGTGGATGAATCCAGCCTGAGACTGAGGATACACATGGGTTAGTGGAGCCAATTGCTAGTCCAATGGCTGATCATCATCTTCCTCTGAACAGCAAAGCTCCTGAGCCAGGTGGACTTGGCTGCTCTTTCAAGGGAAGAAGAGTGAGCTCTTCCTCTCTCCCCTGGGAAGAGCCACAGCTCCCCACCCCTCCTTCCCACGGTGGGCGGGGAAGCGCCACGGTCCCAGCTCCCGTCCCAGCTGCCTGCGAAACCCAGAGAGAAGCGTCCCCCACCAGATTCAGAGAGAAACTTAGCTGAGAGCAGAGGCCAGGTGCTGAGCCCAGTGGGGCGAGGTTTCAGGACTCAGTCATCTTCCTTCCTGAGGCTCCCTTCCAGCCAGGGGCCGGGCGGGCGGGAGAAGAAAGCCCGCGCGCCCCGGAGCTCCCCGGCCCCCCTGCTGCCCTCCGGGCGCCCGCCCGGGAAACCCCGATTGACGATCTCCTTAGCTCACGGCGAGGGCGCCCGGGGCCGGCGCAGAGGAGGGCTGGTACATTTCAAACCTCTGCCGACTGCTTAGTCACAGCCCCCTCGATTGGGTGTGTCCTTCGCTCGCTCCCTCCCTCTTAGGTCACTTTCAACCCTCAAATAAAAACGGCGCCCAACTTCCGAGGCGCCCTCATTGCCCAGCCAGACCCCAGCCTCCGCCAGGTCCGGGCCGCCGTCCTTGCTCAGTTCTCTACGGTTCCCCAGCCCAGCGCCCCGGGACGCTCCAGCCCCGCTCGCTCGCTCGCTCGCTCTCCTCCTCCGTCCGCTCCGCTCCGACACCATGAACAAGTTCGGGTGGTGCGCCGCGTGGGGACTCTGCCTCTTGCAGCTGAGCCTGGCGCAGATCGGTAAGATCGGTGAGTGCCTGCCGCCCGGGCAGCGGGAGGGAGTGACAGGAGGGGTCTGGACTGACCGGCAGCCGCGCAGCCTGGGCTGACCCTGGGGACCGGAGCCAAAGCGGGTGCTGCAGCTCGGATTTGGTTAAGGAGGGCTAGGGTGTGCGCTAAGCTGTCGGAGAGCTTGATGGTTGGAAGCACCGCTTTGTGGGCCGGAAAAGAGAAGAAAGTTTGCCGGGCAGGCTGCGGGCGGGCGCGCAGTTTTGGGCGAGGTCGCCGGAGCCAGAGCACAAGGCGGAAAGTAACTGTACTCCTGGATGCGCGCAGCGGGTGTCTGCGCTCACAGGCTCCTGCCCCAAAGGCGCTGGAGCCCGGCCGGCTGTCGGGCTGTGGCGGGGCCAGGGCAGGGCTGGGCAGGGCAGGGGCTGTGAGCCCGGTGGCCACAGAGCTGGGCACGGTTGCATGAATGAGAACTGGTGGCCATGAGCTTCCCGGGAAGGGGCCCTGGCTTCTTGCGCCTGCCCATTGCGCCTGGCTTTCAAAGCTCTTACAGTTGGCTCCAGTCAGGGACTGTCTCAGCATTAGTGGGAGCTGGAACCAGCCCTGCGGGGGAGCTCCTGGGTCTCCACGAGGTGCCAGCCAGAGCCAGGGAGGGTGAGTCGGCAGGCAAGGCGATGACTGGGCCAGCTGCTCAGCCCTTGTCAACTCCTGCTTCTGCCAATCAGTTAGGGGAAATCCAGACAGTAATGAGGCGAATATTTCCTGCCTGGCAGCCCCGGAGGAGGGCCGGGAGCCTGGGCACCAGGAGCTGGGGCCGCCAGGGTCCCATCGCGCCCGGGTCTGTGGTTGTGGAGAGGTGGCTGTGTGTGAGGTATTCTGGCCAAGCTGAGTTCCAGGTGTTTCTTGCCTTTGTCTATATATGTACAGATAATTACATGGCTGATTTGCTTATCGCTAGGAAAATTAATTTTCCTTTTAAGACGTGCCAGCTGGGTCATTAAGACAGCTCAGCCTATGGTTAATTCTACCCAGCAAGTATTTATTATACCCAGCTCTGGGGGTACCAAGAAAGTAAAAGACACAGCCCTAGCTGGGTACTTCAGACTACGGAGAAGTGGGGATCTCCGAGTTAGATTCCTGAGCTGGAAATAATAGGAATGCGAATAGGAATGACAGCGCTAGCAAGCGTTTATTGCACATTTCGCTACCCCGGAACGGTGCTAAATTCTTTACATGTGTTAGGTCATTTTGCCCTCATGCCGGCCCAGTGAGAAGTGGCCTGTTATTAGCCTGTTTCATGGGTGGGGGTGGAGGGGTTTTACAAATGGAGGTTAAATGACTTGCACGTGTCACACAGACAGAGGGTTGGTGTGATGTGAGCCCAGGCCCCCTAGCCTGTGCTTGGGCAGAATATGTAGACTCTATGTACGGCGTGGACAAAATCAAAAAGGGATTCGGGGAAAGCAGGGTTGTGGTGGGCCAAAGGCCTTAGCAGGGGCTGAGTCTGGAGAGCCAAAGAGCCCTTGGAAGTCAGACGCGCTTGGGATGGGAGAGAAGAGGGAAACTTGGGTGCAGGGAGAGCCCTGGGCCTGGCCTCAGAGAAGAGGGGCCTCTGGGGAAGTTTACTTATATGTTACCTTCCTGTGACATCTTCTGCTTTGTTTCTGAGAATTCGGGCTCCTGCCAATCTGTCTGCCTGATTCTTTGAAAGGACCCCCCTCCCCAAACACTGGGCGCTGTCCTGACCCTTGAGGTTCTCCCAGAGACCAGCAGGCTCACTCCTGCACCCTTCTCCCCCATGTTCGTGGTCCCTTTGGGCAGCATCATTTGGAGGAAGCACAGAAAGTGCCGGTAGCAATAGCTGCCCGACCCTGGCTTCCATGTGCTTGGAAGGTTGTCTGGGGGGGAACTAAGACTTGGAAAGTAGAGAGACGTGACTTATCCGTGGGCTCAGGCTGGGAGGGAGAGAGCAGAAGCAGAAAGAGGAGGGGGAAGGAAAGGCACTGTTGTTGCCCATTGGGGGGGGGGGGGGGCTCCAGAAGACAAAGAGGAAACTTTGAAAGGGGCAGGGCTTTGGGGAGGAAGAAAGGTCCAACCTCAGTATTGCAAAGCAAAAAGTAGAGAAATGGCTAAATGGAGGGAAACAACATTGGACCCAGAGATCCTGAGCTGGAGAACAGATACCTGGAACTGGGTGTCATATGTGGGAGAAGGAAAGTAGCCTTGGGTCAAGGGCAGGTGGGGTGAGCCCTCGGGCACACATCTATCTCGTCCTCTCACTGAGGGCCAAAGGCCATTGCTAGGGAATCGTGCCCCTGGCGTTGAGAAAGAGGGGTGCATCTGAGTGCTCTGGGGCTTGGGGCTGGCAGTGCCCTCTGCTGCCTCTGAGCATTAGACACCCCACATGGGCATTAGAGCTTCGGCTGTGTTTTCCCAGATGAAGGAGCAAGGCAGCAAAGCTCCATTCCTGCTGAGGTTAGCATCACTTAATTCAGTTCCTCCCCAGATACACACTGGACATCTCTTTCCTGCACGGGTAGGGTGCCACGCGGGCATGTTTGAGGCTGGCAGCCAGTAGGAAAAGGTTCCATTTTTTTCCCCCAAATTGCACCACGTGGGAGGGGATGCTGGGCAGCATGAAATTCTTAGTTTATGACAGCTCCCTTTCATTCATTCAAGAAATATTTCTTGACTCAGAGACTCAGAGACGGGACTCCAAGGATCTTTCAGAAAACCCCCTTCTTTTCCCCTAGGAGGAAACAGCCCCTGAAGGAGAGAGAGGCATGGCTTGCCCTCTCTCGGACAGTGTTAGGGTCTCTGAAATGCCACTACCGACCACTGGCATGAGCCCCACCTCGACCCCCTGCCATGGGCAGGCAGCCTGTGGTCTACTGGTGTTTCATGCCTTCAGTAGTGTCTTAACCAGTCATCACAGTTTCTTATTTACTCCACATTATACCTAGTTTGAGTTTAATCTGAGAATAATGAGATGGATAAAGTCTTACCTTAAAGCACCGTGGATGCTCAGTGAGGAGGTTCTGTATTGCCTGGGGCTTTCCGGGCCTCCTGGATCATTGCTGGGTCCCTGAGAGTCAGGAGCACCCCAGTTTTAAAAGCCTGACACTCAGCTAATGCACCATATGCTTCTGCCCAAAGTAGGGGTCATAAGTCCCCAGGAAATACCACTGACGGAGCACCAACTCTCTGCTGGGCATTCAGCGAGGGGGTAGCATAGGTCCTCACCACAGCCTCCATACATTTAGCTCCATTTTCTAGAGAAAGACATGGGCCCAGGGAGATGCCACGACTTTGTCGAGGGCACGCAGCTATTGAGTGGTGGAGGTGGGTACCCCGTTGGCTCACATCCCCCATGTTAGACTCCGATGCCTCAGCTCCTTTGCCCCATCGCTTTGCCTCTGGCTGACTTTTAAGTCCGGTGAGGATCTCCCACTCTCTCCACCCCTAAGGCCAGCTAATGTGAGGCCTGCCGTGAGTTTCTTCTCTCGCCCCCTCCCTGCCCTGCCCCCCGCCCCCCGCCCCGCAGGCTGTGGACGCTTGGCTGCCCTGCCCTGGCCTGGCCTGTCTCCCCTCACGTTTGGCCACAGCTGTCAAGAGATACTAACCTAGTTATTTGTTTCTAAAATAAGTCAGGGCCTTATCAGAGTCCAGCCGCCCTTCTAGACATGCTCTCATTGGCAGGCTTGGAGGAAAGGGAGAGGCTGCCTCTTGTCTCTGAGACAAGTTAGGGCAATGCCCTCCACCTGGAAATGAAGGAGGAGGCTCCACGGAGGGAGGCTCTCATGTGGACCTCGTAAGCATTAGATGCAAGACCCAGAAAAGCCGCCTCAGCAAACGCTCATTGGAAACCCTGGGGCTTAGCAGGTTTTATGAGCCTCCGTGAGGGAAGGTCTTGAGGACCCGGGATGACACAGTTAGTTCTCTATGAAAGTCAAAGATCTTGAACTGAAAGCCAGCGTGGAGCCCCATGTGACACGTGCACACCCAAGTGAGATTTCAGATCAGCCTGTGATATCCAGGCTGGGGTCCCCTGACAGAGGGAGGTGATAGGAAGTAGTCTGTCCTGGCTGGGCTGGGGTTGGGGCTGGGGCTGGGGCTGGGGCTGGGGTTGGGGTTGGGGCTGGGGCTGGAGTTTGCTGGGGCTGAGGCTGAGGCTGGTGCTGGGGCTGGGGCTGGGGCTGGGGCTGGGGTTGGGGCTGGGGTTTGGGCTAGGGCTGGGGCTGGGGTTGTGTTTCCCCAGCACCTCCGGTTTAGCTGACTCCACCCAGCACCTAAAAGGGAAGTGGCCCTTGTAAAAGGAGTGGAGCAGGTGGCAGATGCTGCCAGACAAAGCACAGGCTCAAAGGGGATCTTTTCTGCCCCAGAGAAATTCTGGGGGTTTGCACAGCAAGAAACTGATGACTCAATTTCCTTTGTGTCGCTGCTTGAATGGGAAGCACACAACTGTTCTTTAGAATTACCAGGGTTGGCTGCTGCTTCCTCCCCTACATTTAAACCCCACTTTTCACTCACTCAGGAAGTTGAAATTGTTCCTAAGCGTGTGCTCCCCCTGAGCCGGCCAGCAAGGGTGCGGGAAGCCAGCCCCACTTTCCAGAATAAGGAAGCGGTGCCTTCTGAAGTTCATGGTTGTGGGTGTGGCCTGACATGGCACAGTGAGTGTGTGTGTTCCCAACGTGCCAGGAGAGCTGGGATTTCAAACATGCAAATGCTCTGCCAGCTGATACATAGTGGATACTTTGACTAAATGTTTATATATTTTCCACGAACAAATGCATGGCTTGGTGTGATTACAACTCAAAAACTTTGCAAGACTTTTTGCATAAGTTAATTCACAGCTCCACAACTCCTTAATCCAGTGGTTCTCAACCTTCCTAATGCCACGACCCTTTAATACAGTTCCTCATGTTGTGGTGACCCCCAACCATAAAATTATATTCGTTGCTACTTCATAACTGTAATTCTGCTACTGTTATGAATCGTTATGTAAATATCTGATATGCAGGATGTATTTTCATTGTTACAAATTGAACATAATTAAAGCATAGTGATAATCACAAAAACAATATGTAATTATATATGTGTTTTCCCATGGTCTTAGGCGACCCCTGTGAAAAGGTTGTTCGACCCCCCCAAAGGGGTCTCGACCCACAGGTTGAGAACCGCTCCTTAATCAGTCTAGTTCAGCGGTTCTCAACCTGTGGGTCGCCACCCCTTTGGCGGTCGAACGACCCTTTCACAGGGGTCGCCTAAGACCACCCTGCATATCAGATATTTACATTACGATTCATAACAGTAGCAACATTACAGTTATGAAGTAGCAATGAAAATAATTTTATGGTTGGGGGTCACCACAACATGAGGAACTGTATTTAAAGGGCCAGAAGGTTGAGAAGCACTGGTCTAGTTGCTGATGAGGTTGATGTTTGGTTCAGAAAGGTGCACTTGCGGGAGAAATGTTAGTATTCCTCTGTTCTCCACTTCTTGATCATCCCAAAATATGAAGTTACCAGGAAATGCCACATATTTGATTCTTGCTTGCTAAGGTGGACATACACACGTGGGTGGGCCCTTAAGTGTCTATGCATCTGAACACACGGGGGTATTGCTGGGCAACCGCTAAGCATTTGTAAGGTGTCCTGTACGGGCCCCTCAATGTGTTGAGTACGTTGGCGACTTAAATGTGCGAGACATGGGCCTTGCATCCAAGGACTTTATGGTTCTATGTGTATAGCAGAGTGCAGTCGAGTGACAGCCTGGACACTTTAGAGCAGGGGTCCTCAAACTTTTTAAACGGGGCCAGTTCACTGTCCCTCAGACCGTTGGAGGGCCGGACTATAGTTTAAAAAAAAACTATGAACAAATTCCCATGTACACAGCCGTGGCAAAAACACCCGGCGGGCGGGCCGGATGAGTGTTTTTGGTGGGCCGCATGTGGCCCGAGGGCCGTAGTTTGAGGACGCCTGCTTTAGAGGATAGGAATATCATTGCCAAGCAGCGACACAGCAAGGAGGACTGGAGGAATTGATGCCAGAGAGGAGGGGCAATGCAGACAAGATAGGATTTTAATATGCAAAGAGGAGAGGGTGAGAAAGAGGTGTGCATATTTCTGTTACCCTGTTATTAATCTATCCCCGCCCCCCCCCCCCCCCCCCCCCAAGTAAGTTAACTAATTAACTAGCCAAAGTTTTCAACAAACGTTCAGGCACTGACTACTCAGTGCACCAGGCAGTTAGGACTGGAGGGGTCAGTCAGTGTCAGTGCACCTGGCACTTAGGACTGGAGGGGTCAATGTTGGGAGGGACAGTCCTCACCTCTGCATAGTTCACAGCCTAGTACAGTGGGGCCTTGACTTACGAGTTTAATTTGTTCCGAGACCAAGCTCCTTAAGGAGCTCGTTAACTCAAATTACTCTATCAACTCAATGCAAAAAAATCGGCCGAGAGACAGCTGGTATCTCAAAAAACTCGTTAGTCGGGACACTCGTAAGTCAAGGCCCCCTGTATAGGGTTTCCTGGGTAATGGCTGACTATGCATCTCTGGCTTCCACATGGTAGATTCTGGTTGCGTGCGCCCCCGACCCAGTCGTAACAACAAACAATGCCAAATTAGGGGGTGTTAAGGTTGCCCCACTTTGAGAACCCTTGGTGTAACAGGATGGCAGCCATCCCAGTAACCTCAGCTCTGACAGTGTGGCATTTGGTTCCCATAGGTCCCATTAGTTCACCTTAAAGCTTCACAGTGAAATCTCACAGGAAGCCTGTGGAGGCCACGGGGTCCGAGTGACTCTCACACTCCTCAAAGGGGAAAACCCAAACCTGACATATCTTCTCTTACCCGTCTTCTGCAGTGCTGTGGGAGTCCCCTGACGTGAGGGGTCATTGTCATGCTTCCAGCGCTTGGTGCTGGCCCATATCTGTTCCTAGTAACTGTTGAACTGATGAATATCTAGAATAGAGAAATAACTCTATCCGTCTCTAGGGTCGGTACACCTAAGATGCAAATACGTCCATGTTATATGATAACAGTGGCGATGGCTGTCTTGCTCGGGGCAAGCCCAAGGAGGGCGCTTGGCTGGCCAGTTGCCCACCGTGGGGCTCATGTACTTTCTGCCCAAAGAGGGAGATCACCCATCTGTTTGTGGTTTTGGTGGCTCCTTGCTGGGATGTCTAAGGACAGGGTTACTATTTCTGAGCCAGGACCGGAGGATGATGACACCAACCCCCACATTTAAGCCTCGAAATAGAGCCCTCGGCAGGAGCCGCCCGCTGAGAGGGCTGCTTATTTTGGAGATGCTTACCTGAGGTTAGACTCCCTGGGTGAGAGGCCACACCCGTCCAGCTCCCATGGCTGCTTCTGGAAGGTGGAGGCAGCTGAAGGAGCAGCAGACCAGCTTCACAGAGGATTCTTGCCTTCTTGGTGGGTCTCCTGCAGCCACTAAACGGGGCAAATCTCAGGGAAGCATGGCATCTGATGGGAAGCCACACTGGCAATGACGACCCGGGCCTCCTCTCCATAGAGCTTGCCAAGTCTGAAGCTGCCCACCACGGAGGCAGGTCCTGCCTATCCTTGGCCTATCTGCCCAGTAAGACTTGGAGACAGGGAGTCAAGCACAGAATGGGGATGGGATGTTGTGGGGGAACAGGACCTCACGGCACCCGATCTCCCCGAGTTTGGGATGCACAGCCTGTCCGGGTGTGTCCTGGAGCAAGTACCCCTCCTAAGCGCAAGTGTGGGGAGACAGGTCCCAGGCGAGTGGAGAGGAGCTGAGCCACCAAGGAGGTGATTTGCAAAACTCAAGCCCCCCAAATCCTCTGAGTCTTCAGCTTTTGAGAGTAAAGGTTCATTACAAAACTCCAGTGGGGGGGAGAGCGTGTTCACCCAGGTTGCTAATTCTGAGCGTTTGCGGTGGTGTCCTTGCCATTCTCCCTTCGTGGTGCCTGAAAGTTCATCTTTCTTCCCCACACCCTGGCCTCAGAGTTAGAGCTCTTGGACCTTTTGCACTTGCTTCTTTGCAGTAAGTTGATGTTTTTAAGAAATCACTGATATTAGTAATAATAGCAAACAGTTGATAGAAAGCTAACCATGGGCCAGCCACCATTCTAATCGTTCCCTTGTACTAACTTGTTTAATATAGTCCTGTATACTAATTTATATTTCTCCATACTAGTATATTCCTGTCTACTAAGTTGTTTAATACTTACACCAACCTTATGAAGGAGTTCTATTATTACCCCTCTTTTACTTATGAGAAAACTGAGGCATAGAGAAATTAACTTGCCCAAGGCTATAGGGCCGTAAGCGATGGAGCTGGGAAGCGGATGGTCTGGCTAGTGGGTTTCTGCTCTTAGTGACTACATTACTGTGCTCCTCTTAGTATCTCAAGATATCAGGGTACCCCCAGAGACTCAAATGAGGGTACATGGTAGCATTCTGGTTGTTTTCATGAGCCCCATTTGGGAATCGAGTGTGGGTAGAGTCCTAATGTCCATAGAGCTGGTTTTGTCC